ATGACCTTTTGGATCAACACAAAGGAATCATCTAGTGACTTACTCAAGATAGATGAAATGCTCTAAGCGTGACTCTCAATGTGTGGCCAAAGGATCATAACCCTCTATTTATAGACAAGAGTTAGTTTATCTCTTGGTATTTTTTTAATTTAGCTCATCATTAATTTAAAATAAGACCTGGTCTCTACATGTATTTATACTTATGTCCATACTTATGAGAGAGTATGTAATCTTAAATACTTAAACTTCAATAAATCATCTTATATAAAATTAACTCAATGATAGCCCATAATACACAATTCATACATAATTGTCCACATTGAGATTAATTCGAACAAAACACACTTACCACAATAAAATATAAAACTCACTTTCTACTTTCTTTAATTTTTACTAGCGAAAGAATTTTATATGATTTCTTCTTTAGGTTTATCTTCTAATGATGTCAAATTCGTCCATCCATGATGTTGCCCATAGTGTGGAAGGAGAGGTGCTCTCTCTCTCCCCCCTTCTCCTCACTCTTCCTCTTGCTCTCACTCTCGCGTTGGGCAAGAAGACAAGGTCTTCCTCATATGAGGGAGGTTCACATAGTGGAAGACATGTATATATAACCCTGTAATGATTATGACAGAAATCTTAGACCTCAAAGCTTACTCAAACTTCAGAATTTGATAACTAACCATGGCCCAAGATGCTAAGCATCATCGATGAGGAACCAGATAATGAGGCATCTTGATAACGTACAGAAGAAATTGTAGAAGAACATTCCCATGATTTGGTGAATGTTTCCCCCTGAAGAAGTATTTCTTGAGTCATTTCACCTTCTCTACTCATTTCAAGGCCATTCAGCATCATCCATTCCTATTATAAACTCATAGGAGAGGATGGCAGAGAGTGGGATAGAGAGAGGAACCAAATCATATGATCAATTTATGACAAGGCTTGATGAAGGAGAAATCGAAGTAATTGATACATATTCTGGAGGGAATCCATGAACTCTACTGCATGTTCTCAAAGGGGATAATATCCTCCATTAAGTTGGGCAATTTAACACGTTAGCAGAAATTGACATCATAAGTTGCAGGTTCAACGACTATAAACTTTCAAATATGAAGTGTTTACATCAGATGATTGAAGGGTATTTAAAAATTCCATATCAGACAATAATTATAAAATCGCCATATGCATAATCCTATGCAGATTTGAAATGGCTGGCTCAAAAGTTCATGATTTGTTGTTGATCGTGCAGTCATCGGCATCTTGAATCATAAAAGTTAGAATTTCTAGCATTAATTTTTTTTTACTAGGATACCTCCTTTCAAGGGGACCAAGTTTACAAATATACTGGATGAAGAAACATATTCAGCAGATTTCAGACATTAATGCAAATCTAATTGTTATCTGATTGTGACTAACGAAATATAGTTATTTATACAACTATGCTCATCACTAGAGGTCCAGTAGAAAAAGAAAGAGAAACTGGCTTCATTGATGTTAGCATCACGGAGCACCATGAATCCATCCGGTAGCAACTTCCAGTAACATGGAACCTTACCAGAATTGGCAGCTTAAACGCCATGGCTTCAATGGTAAATATAGATTTGAATACTTTATTAGCATAAAGATGTTAAATATTTATAAACATAGGTTTACATGATATCACGATTTAGGCATCTAGATTGGAATATTTCTTATTGAATAATAATATGAAATATTTCTATACTTTTGCCTTGATTTAATGATTGGGCCAGAATTTAAGTTGAAATTGATTCGATTACTGGGCTAAAATTTAAGTTGAAATTGATTTGATTATCGGGCCTGAACTTAAGTTGAAATTCATTTGATTATTGGACCTGAATTTAGGTAGAAATTGATTTCATTATTGGGATATGGGCCTTAATTTAAGGTGTATTTATTTTATTATTGGGCCTTATCTTTAAGGCGTATTGGTCCAAGCTATACACGTCTCATTCAAACAAGATTTAAAACCAAACTATTTCTTGAGCCAATACAAATCCGAAAATAAAATGATACTCTTGTTCGAAATAATAACTGTCTTATTCTTTAAAATTCGTTTGTGCTCGAATTGCTCTTGCTCTTGAGTTGCGACCACCCCTGATTCTCTAGGGCCAAAAATGATGCCTTACTCCCTCTCCCTCTCTCTCCCTCTCTCTCTCTCTCTCTCTCTCTCTCTCTCTCTCTCTCTCTCTCTCTCTCTCTCTCTCTCTCTCTCTCTCGCTCGCTCGCTCGCTCTTATTCTTTAGTATTAAATTCACTCTCTTATTCTTTACAGATTATCGTTATATTAAATGCTGTCTCGCTCTCGTGACGAATGCGGGGGAGAACAAAACCACGGACGAACACGGCGGAGAAAAACCTCACGAATGAGACTGAAAAACAACGGATGAACGACGAAAAACAGACGGAAGATCACGACGGGAAACGAACGAGAAATCAAGACCGTAAACAACAAACGATCAGAGAAAAACAGACGGAAGATCGCGACGGGAAACGAACGGAATCTCGCAACGGAAAAGGATTAACGAATGCGGAAAAACGAACGAGCCATTCTCACCAGAAGTATTAGGTTTATCAACGAGTCATCTGGGTGTGCCGCCCAGTCGCTATGTCTTGGGGAATCCAAAGACAAACGAGGAGTTTAACGTCTCAAAATCTTCTGGATCTTCGTCAGAAAACTTAGGAGCTCAAGGACCGAAAATCACCTGGATCTTCGCCAAGAAAAATACGAGCTTCAATGACGATAAAGCCTGCTGTTCTTCACGAGATAAAAGAAGACTTCGACGACGGAAAATCAAGTGGATGTTCACAGGAGAACAAGATATTTTACGACAAGAAATACAAGATGAAGAAGATGAGATAAAGGACGAGGTACTCTATCCTCGCCACTGCTTTTGATCGTGTCAAAAAAGACAAGAACAAAGGAAGAGGAAAAGAAGAAAACAGACTGTTCCATCCATTCGCCACTACTCGTGATCATCGTAATTAAGAGAACACGAGTAAGAATAACAAGAAGAAGAAGAAGAATATGTTGAAGAGAAGAAAGAATTTGATTTCCATGATTGCTCCTAGAGATAGAAGTGTGTGAAAATAGAAAAACTTGAAAAAATGAAAACACTATCAATTCAGCCCCTCCCTTCTTGATATTGTGCTGCCAGTTAAAGGTAAACATCCAGGTCCATTGTTAGAGATCATTTTTCTCTTCGCATCGATTCTACTTCCATCTTCATCATGTTTGTTTCAAGACAACGTTTTCCGACTTGTTGGGTGAGAAGTACTTTGTTGATGAGAGTAGGAGCATTGAAAAGTTTAAATTTCAGAAGAGTTTGTTCGTAAAAGTATAAGGGAGAGTGCTTAACAAAGAAGAGAGAAATGGAGAGATCGTGGACATGAATGATACCTCTTTTGCAATCCCACGTGAAGGAGAAGTCGTGGATTCATTTCTTGAACCTTAGACATTGAATTAGATGATTAAAAAAAAAAAGTATCGATAAATTAATGGCGAGATCTTGTATAGAATTTCGGTGAAAAGATTAAAAAGTTGAAAATGATTTTTAAAAGAACCAAATGATTACACGGCTAGCCACTTCAAAAGAAGATGATTAAATTAAAAAAATAATTTCTCTGTAAAAATATACGTTAAACATGAATATCTACTGTTTATGTAGAGTGGTAGACCTGGTCAGGATTGGAACGCTGCCGTAGGTCAAGCTTCCAATGCAACCATATATCAGGTTTGCAGTTTGTTGAACATCCACAAAGCAGCATCTATTGACGTTGACAAAGGTAGGGATGATGAAATGCTAAAAAGAAAAAACAAGTGCCTTTCTTTGTTGAACGGGGGGAGGGGATGCTCAACGTCGAAATAGTCTTATGTCTGAGACCATGTGTTGACATGGGTAGTATATTTCTTACGCTACAAGACTGTAAAAGTTAGTCACTTTCCTGTTCCATGGTAGTAGTCTCGAGAAGTGGCTCCCAGTTACAGGAAGATGAAGATGCCGCCGTTGAGAAAGATGACAAAGATGAGGAGATGATCTACCCTAGTATGTTCCATGGTAGCATGTTCCTCATACTCTCGATATTTATGCATTGCGCGAGATAACAGCTTATAATTTTGCGTATATTTGATCTTTAGTTTCATTTTCGAACAGTATTTTTCCTCTACTCTTTGACTGTTGCCTATAGGGGAAAAAACAGACTGTTGACGGTAGATGCCTCCAGGGCTAAATCTTTCGATCGGGTGGGTTGGGTCGTGGGGTCGCCGGCCCTATTACGGGCGGTTTGCCCTGCAAAGCCCGGGCCCCAGCCGCGGCTCCTGGCCCCGTCCACGCCATCGACCGACTCCGCCTGCACACAAGTCACCTGTTCGACGCATGCGGCGAAATCCCGACCCCCCGGCGGAGCCAGGAGGACGGCAGCCGAACGCTCGTTTACCTCCAGATCCATGCAACCGTGAGAGGTTCAGCTCGACGACACGGGGAAGGGGAGTTCTGTCGACGAGTAGGTGCACGACGGGATGAAGGTTACAAGTGGAGGAAGTTGGAAGGACGAGATATCTTCCTAGCCGAAATGGGTAAAGCAAAAAAAGGATAGTTGGAGAGATGGAAATGGGGAGAAATCAGGTCAGGAGGGGAGAGGAAGAGAGAGAGGATGATACCGAGGAAGAAGGAGGGGATGATACCGACGAGTAACTGTTTTTGCCTAAAGAAGCATTTCCCAAGAAAATTCACCTTCTCTGATGACTTCAAGGGTCATCTATTCCCGCTGTGAATAGGAGAGGGTAGCAGAGAGTGGGATAGAGAGAGAGAGAGAGAGGGAGACCAAATCATATGGTCAATTTGCTACAAGGCTTGATGATAGAGAAATCCAAGTAATTGATACATATTATGGAGAGAAAAAAAGGAATCAACCCACTTTGACACGGTGCCCCGATTTCAATTTATACCTCAAAATTTAGAGAGTGGTTGTGTATCCATGCTTCACAAATGAAGAACTTCCTTCAAAACCGCGGCAATTCTACTAGCCATGTGTTCCTCCAGAAAGGTCTGCTTCATCCTCTCATAGCCTTTTCTCCCCATGGCTAGTCTTCGCTCTACCTGCCTGGCGAGATCTACGATGTTCTTCGCCAGCAGTGAGATGCCCTCCTTACCCGCTGGATGCAGCAATCCTGTCGACCCATCGACCACAATCTCAGTGGTGCCACCAGCAGCTGTGCCCTGAAGATTTTCAGGCAATGGTGAGAGCATAATCAAGGAATTTCACCTGAAGGTATAGACTTATACTATACATAGCACTCTGCAGCCTGTTCTCTAAGGGGATAACATCCTACAATAAGTTGGTCAAATTAACTTGAAAGCGGAAGGGTGTTTACATCAGAGGACAAAAGGGTAATTAACATTCTACATGTGACACGATAATCATAACATCAAAATATGCATAATTTTATGAAGAATTGAAATAGACTGGCTTCGAAGCTCATACTTTGTCGGTGATTGTGCAGACATCAGCATCTTAAATCATAAAAATTAGAATTTCTAGCGTTAAAAAATAAAAATTTGACGTTATTACACATGATTTAGAAGAATAACCAGGTAAAACTGAATGCTAGAGACACCCGAGTAAACCTAATAATAATGGGCAGGGATAGATAATGCCACTTTTCATGGGAAGTAGCTTACACATATACTGGATGAAGAAACATATTCAGATGCCTTTGGACATTAATGCAGATCTAATTTGTATCTGATCGTGGCTAATGAAGTATAGTTCTTTATATACAACAATGCCCATGACTAGAGATTCACCACAGAAGGAAGGAGAAACTGGCCTCGTTGATGCTAGCATTAGAGAGCACCTTACCAGTAAAACTTGCAGTAAAACGGGGAACCTTACCAGAACTGGCAGCTTAAAAGCCATTGCTTCAATGGTAATTCTTCCAAAGCATTCTCCACGACCCTACAAAAAAGGATCCAAAGCTTTTCACCAAGTTAATATCCTAAGATCCGCACTAGAAAATCTGATGACTTTTATTCCAACTTTGACAACGACCACAAGCTGGAAAAGGAGGAGAGATGTAAAGCAACATCTCTTAAAAGCAAACTTGGAACTCATCATAGTAACTGTGACGTACACAACATCTCTTAAAAGATGAACACGGACTACCATCATTCACATATTGTAAGTACCCATCACACATCCACTGATGGCATTCATAATTCATGATTCGGATTATAATTCCAGCATCAGAGCTGAGGCTTGTTTTTCAAAATTCAAGCAGCCGGATTCAGAAGGAGTTGTCTGCCATTGATAGCCTGCTGACCCATGCTAGGCATCAGACAAATTCGAGGGTAGGCATTAGTGCTGCCAGCCAGAGAATTACGACAAAGTCATTAGGATGGAATACCCTGTCCTCAGCCAACTAAAGTGGATGGGACAAGGCTGCGTTGGTGATGACAAAGAACCAAAACACAGGAACTTCTAAAAGTCCAATGTATGGAGTCCCTGGCTAAGAAATAAGCAGATGTCAAAAGGATCAATTAAGGAATTAGATTTCAGAACGTGTGCTATGATTTTTAGCTTTTCTGTAAATATATTTCAAAAAATGATCATAAATTTAGATTTCACGCTTCAATGACCACAAAAAGCACTTAGAAAATAAAAAATATTTTTAATTTCTTTTGTTTTGAAGTAATCAGTCATCGTAGCCATTTGATTGGGGGGGTTGTAAGGGCACAGTGATTGTCTGAATTCTTCGGAAAAACAGTACTTAAAGCAGTACCTTTAATTGAATTCGAAACATATCTTTACTTTCAGGAGTCCAAGGAAAGGTTTTATGAAACACTGAACACTTACCTGAGAGTTCTGGACTAGAACATCAATTGCGGCCAAGTATGGAGCAACATTAAGTGATTTATTGACAAAGCGAACAGAGCCCTCGATTCCACTCTTTATCACAAAGTTGCGCAATTCTGTTTCGAACTTGGTCTGCACACTCATATCACTTCCAACAACAACAGCATAAATTGGTGGAAGCTGTAGTTTCTTCTCATGGATCAATTGCAGACTTTCATTAAATGACTGAAGGAACAAATCTTGTCCTTTACCCCGCGAGACACCTGCAAAGTTAATATCATTTTGAAGATCACTAAGACTAGTTTTGAAACTTAATCACTTTCTTTTTATAAGATAATATCAGGAGTCATCCAATCACATAGAAGTACATAGGTGACAGAAACTCGCTATGAATATATTTTATACTTCAAATGAAATGAACAGCACGAGATGGAAGAAAAGATTTCTCGTGGGAAAGATAGCTTCCAAGAAAATCAGGGGCTCAATTGGTAAGAGAATCGTACTATTGATGATCCCAAAGAGAAGATCCTCTTTCCGCACTCCAAGAGACTCACGTACATGATCACGGAGAATCCTTTTGGCAATATCATCTTCAGCTATTTCTATGAGTTCTTTGCTGTTCCCGAGATGAACAACATACGTTTGTGGCATCTTTATCCTGCAAAGAAACTTCCACTAGGGTAAAGTACCAAAAAACAATTGGGATTCACCCTCAAACCTTGGAGTGATAAGAGAAGTTAGGGGAAAAAGCGTCCGAAAAATGACCATTAAACATGATTGTGATCAACAGTTTCTTTCCCACAAATATCGATTTTCTCTAGATGAATTTTGGGAACTATCATCCTCCTTGATATGATAATAATCAAAGCTAGCGTTAAACAGTATTACATGATATTTCTGCTGGTAGATAAATAGTTTCATGCCTTTTTTAAATGTCAGCACACTAAAATGAAAAAAATATATGACCAAGAAATCATAAATACGGCATGATATTGTAGTGAAAGAAAGAAAATGTAGTAATTCTTTCATTGGAGAAGAGCATTAAACATATCAACAGGCATATCAATTTTTCACCCTCAAAAAATGAATAAAAGTATAATATGTTTTTTCATCATTGTTTTCAATTATTGTTTCCATCTATAAAAGTTTCCAAAGATAATGATACAGCCTGCAAACTAAAGAGCTTACTGAGAAAGATGTTGTACCCCATACGTTCCCGAGTTCTGTTTTTCCAGTATGCTGCCGTTGCATAAGAATCAATCATAGCACCAGCGACAAAAGGGAGGTGTTTGACATATTCCACTCTGAAGTAGTGCCCTCTCATTTCGTGAATCCACCATAAAATTTTAGGAAGGACTTGGGGCACATGTTCCTTAAGTACAGCGTCAAGCCACTTCCCAGCAACAGCAGTGTTAAGAACGACAAGGTCAGCACTGATGGCTGTATCAATGGCTTCTTTTCCCTTTGCAGATAAAACCTAAAACAATGTAAGAACACGGAGGAAATGAAGAAGGCATTATTCAAGGTATAATTCTATCCACGAAGCAATAAGTAAAGTCCAAAATACATAACAAGCACGTCAATTGAAAGATAACAAAGAAGATCAACGAACTGTGATTTGAGATCCCAAGTTAGTCTAGATCTCAAAAAGGACAAGAAAAATAAATATCTATAAGAGTAGCTTGCTCTTTCACAAATAATTTATCAAAACACACATAAAAGCAACTTGAAACATTAGTTCAAGTAGGAAAGAAATAGCGCAAAAGAAATCATTAAAACACTCGTATACCATATGACTTTTATTATCCCCGACAAGAAACCACCGTTTTCAAGGAGACGAAACATAGAAATCATCTAAAATTAAGAGATAAGAAAGTTAATAAAATATGGTTGAAAATTGAAGCCCTAGAAAGAAAAGAGTAAATGGATATAACAGGGAAAGCACATATATAAGTTGAAAACATTCAACAACAATGAGCGACCTTTATTCCGCGATCCAGCATCTTGTGCTCCAAGCTGTAAATCACATCATTCGTTTCTAGTGGTCTTTGAGCAGTAATCCATATGACATTGGCACCAACACCTCTCAAAAGAAAAGCCAACTCCATCAACAATAATGGTCCACCTGCATCAAGAATGAAATGCCAATAAAACACTCCATAAAATTAGATATGCTCTAGAAAGACACCAAGTTCTTTTCACACTGTTTTGACGTCAGGTGATAGTGCATATCACGGTTCAAAGGTTTTTTACTAGCATTGATCCATCTTAGCTTGCCTTCTATTTTCTCTCTTTTCTTAGGATGTGGGGGTTTGTTTAGTACTGGCAGGTGTAGCATCCTGAGGAAGTCCTCTGCCCGTGAGGGAAAGGTGGAAAATAATGGGAGGGTCAGCCAACATGACAAATGGTGAGCATGAAGTAGCAGGCTCAGTAAACCTGTTAAAGGATCCCCATAAAAAACTCCACCCAAAAAGGGTCAAAAGTAATTCTTTTTAACTTACGCACGTGTATTCTCCACCAGAAAGACTTATTTTCTAAAATTTCAAAATAAATAAATAAACACAAAATTTAATCATCTAATGCTCTTACAAGTTCAGCAGTATATACTGCATTAATACACAACCTTCCCTCTGAAGTTCAGAAATGTATATCTTAGCATTACCACAGGGTTCTGACCAAAGAGAGAAATGAGTCGCATATATTTGTAAGAGCACAGAATGCTGTGCCAGGTGTTTCCGCATAATCAGTCTCATGTTTATCGCTCAAAGAAAACCTTCAGTTGTAAGATAGATATGGAAGGACATGCCAGTTATGAAACTTAAAATAGTCATTGGAATACAAACAAAATTCCATGTTACCATTCCACTAGGAAATTAAAACCACTACCTAAATCCCCAAATTCAAAGGGAAAGAGAGTGAGAGGAATGAGACGGCGGAACATTCACAGGTGTGTCAGGAAATTATGCTCACCGAGGGTTCAAATCCCTCTCTTTCAGTCTCTGTGCATCAATCATTTTCTCCTCAGAGAGAATTTTCCTCTAATAAATCCGCCGCATAAGTGCTTGACTATCAAGGACCACTGTTTTCTCCATGTGTACTGATTGGTAGTCATACCAGTTGAATATTGTCTTTTTTGTTTTCTTACTCTCAGTATGATAGGAATATTTTGTTCCATATAAGCTAATTTGCACTAACCTTCTGAAGAATATGACAAAAGTGGAAGAAAACACAGGGAGAAAGTGATTGAAAATAGTCACATATTTCCAAATGGAATGCCGGGTAATATAGGAAATCGCTCAGTTTCAAAATGTTTAGCAACGGCAATGGAGGTTCATTAACATTTATGTTATTCTCATGCATATACCAAAGATATGAAGTTCCAGGTATGCAGATGAGAAAACATTAACCCTAGGTCTACCATTTACTCTCTTGATATAAAATTCAGTTGGGTATAATCGAATTGATTAAAATCATAATTTTCAAAGATATTCATCAAAATAAAACTTGTTTTATGTGACCTGAGTAGACCAAACTCACAAAAAAACCTCATATAGCACCTCTTGGCACAAGAAATTATTCTACAAGAGACTATGGTGAATAACATTCGTCTGTTAAACATTGAGAAACCAGGTTAAGAGATGCTACATGAAACTTATCATAAATAAATTGCACGAAATAAGATATAGAAGTGTCTTGAAGGATGCTCAACATCTCAGGTATCCCCATGGTGAAATTTTCGAATAATAGTCCTTCCATTAGACAAATATTTTTTCATTGTTAAATTTACAGAAAAATTATAAGTAGATAAGTGGAGTGAATCCAATAAATTTCTAACGTAAATAAAACTAGTAGCACAGAATTCAATAGCTTTAGCCTTAGGAACGGGATACTTCATTTGTCCAACTGATCAATCAACAAGCCATCCTTTGCTGGAAATTCATTGCTTTGTAATAGATCGAATAATGATTATCATGCCGAGACACATGTTTAAACATGATTACCATACATAGAAACCTCACCATCTCTATTTTTAATCAGCGTGAACCAGGGGACAGGGGAGCATCGTTACCATCTATGAGTGGCTATCTCCCAGTCATGATCAGAATCCCCACAGGTGAAGAACAGCCTTCTATTTTGAGGAACTATTCTTGAAGATTATTTTCTCTTTATAATCCAAAACCGTGGCCTAAAATAGCTGAGTGTGGTAATATTTCCACACTTCGTGAGAAAAATAAAAGTTAAAGGAAAGGAAATATTGAGGGAGACCATTTTCCAGGGGGAAATTCAAATCAGTGGAAATGGAGAGAGGTTATTCCAAGACAATGTGATAGACTGAAGTCTTCACTCAATCCACTTCGAACAAATTGTCTAATTCCAGCCCAAAAGGGAAAATCTTCAACTAAATGCACTTACCGGAGAGGGAGAGCTCATGGGAGACGAGAAGAACGAGCTTGGACCTCATGAATTCGAGAGGACTCTCCTCTGCTTTTGGCCCCACCTTCGCCGCGTGCTCAACTTCCAGGCTATCCCTGACATTGCGCCGCAGATCGCAGGTATCAAAGGCGCTCCTGACGAAGAAGACCAAACCCGTCGCCACTGAGAACACCACCAACAACAGCAGGATCCGTCTCTTTGACAGAAATAGCAATGTGGACGCCGGCTTCGCCATTTCTCGCGACCCTGAGCGGATCAAGATCTCCCCTCTCGCCCAGAGCGTCAATTCCCCCACCAGATGCCCAATATGCCATGGCTGAGAACTAGAGGACTCCTGGTTTTCCTTCCGCCATCTGGGTCCTGCCTTTCCTTCTCCCCCTCCATGCCGACGGTAGCACCCAGCACACACTCGCTGCTACCTTTGTTGCTGTGTCTGCTGTTTCCGTGGAATCTATTTCGGGTCTATAACGGACCCGAAATGGACCGTTTCTTCTCGGGTTTATTATTGGTTCGGAGACAATCTGATAGCCCGACTTTCACCGCCCTCTCTCTCTCTCCTCTCTGCGCGCTCTAATGGAGGAAGCTCTTGGTTGCCGCTTCGCAGCGACTTTCATCGTCTCACACACCGACAGGCACTCTCGTTGTCTCTCTTTCCGATTCCAGGAGTCATTTTCGGGAAATCCTGAAGAGTTCAGGGTGTACATCGCAGAGGTGCAGAGTAATTTCGGTCTCCATATCATCGGTTCGATTTTGCTTGCTGTCTGATGCAAAGACGAGCCTTCCAGCTGGCCCGAGAACAGGTGATTCGTTCTATCCAGAGAATCTGTCGACTCCCGTCACGTCTTGGGCATCGGGAGCCAACAATGCGGCGGCCAGACAGTGCACTGTAGCGTTTTCTTTTATTTGCTCGATTCTATTCATTTTGTGGCATTTTCTTTTCCTCAAATGCTTCTGCGAACTTTGCTCGTCTTACAAACGTCGTTGCGTGTCAGTTTTTATAACTAAGAATCGGATAGAAAGCATATGAAGTGCAATCAGCGCTTGCTTTGATCATCTATTTCAGTGATTCTTTAACTCTCAGATGAGGAGGGTTCCCTGGGAGTCACTCTGCTGTTGAGTGAAGTTTTCCTGACTAGTATGTCTACAGATCAACCTGCTTCACTCTATCCGATGCCCCTCAACTGGGCTATAACCAAATAGAATTTAGTTTCATTTCCCATGTACTTATAATCATAGCTGTTCTTTTATTGCTTCCTTATCACCAAGACGTGCCTCTCTTCCTGTTTCTTAGTTTTGGTTGTGCATTTCTAATAAATGGGTTCATGTTTGAATCAGCTTCAAACTTAGTGGAATCAGTCTATTGGTGTTCATTCTTTTGTCACCTTGGAAATTCTAATTGCACGAGTAGTTTGGTGAATAATGTCTTAATCAATTTCAGAAATGATGCGCACTGGAATGACTTTGTGGGCTTATTCGTTCAAATTTATTCGTTTTTTCCTGACGATAGGTGAGCCTTCTCATGAAATGTTACATATAGAAAAAATATCTTATATGCAGTAAATTCAATCACAAACGACCCCTGATTAATCACTTGTTATATTTTTAATATTTTTCGCAGTGATCGTCTCTCTACTTCCCTTGTCTGCAGCAGTGGTTGTACCGAGCTCTAATTGTTATGCCCTTGACAATAGTAGCCACCTTTTTGATTTCGTATCCTATTTTACTTTTAACTTGTGAAAAACGTACCTATGCACTGTGGTAGGCTCGTTTGAAATAATGTTTGTAACATCCTGACATGCTCTCAGACAGACTGGATTGGTCACCCCTTTGAGTATGATGGGAAGGTATTCACATAAATCTCTAACTTGTGGATTTTTTTTATAAATATAGCAGACTTTGTTTTAAGAAAGCTCTTCTGGAAGGATTCTAAATTTTTACCTGTGCGGCATGACTTCAGGAATTTAGTCTGAAATGTTATATCATCCATAAATTGATCTCTTTTGACTCGTATTTTCATCATTATCCTGGTTCTTTAAAATATATTGCTCCATATTTGGCAACTGATGAAATTTTATCATTTATATTGAAATTTCTCGCTGATGATGATCATGTGGCATGAAAAATACGGAAATTAAATGATAATCGTATTGGAAAGTCTAAAAGTTGGCCATGGGAATGGGTCTACAAGGGGAGTGATTGTAGATAGTAGTATTAAAATCATGTCAAGGTAATCGATGGCAGACAACAGTCATACAATCTTACTGTGGGTTATGTTGATTAGACAGGTCGTGTCATCATACTGATACACTGTTTTTACATTCCTTGTTTCTGATTGTTTTTTTGTCATCTACTTCTTCAAGGAAGAAAAACTCACTGCGTTTATTTTCTATTACCAGTTTAGTGAATTTTTAGGAATACTGCTATTCAGACTTCGATGATAAAAAAGAAAATACTCCAACGGTTAAGTTCCTGATGTAGACTTGGATAGCATGATCTGAACGTGGGATAGTATGCGTGTAAACTTAGCCATATTTTCAATAGTAGTCTGTAAAAGTTGTATCTTTAAGGAACCTTTAGTAGAATTTTTCATTATTACACCATTCTGTTGTACCGTCAAGACAGCTTCTCTTACTCTCTTTTTTCTGAAACATGTTGTTAGTCATAGTCTGAAATGAGCCGAATGCTATGGGGCCAGAACTATGAAAAGAGCGTGCATACACATTAGGCATTTACTTGTTCTTTCTTTGTCTTTTTACAGGATGCGGACTTGGTTGTTCGGTTTTGTAAAGATGTAGAGACCCGGTCACAGGCTGTATGTTATGCCAAAACACTTTCCTAAATTGTCTAAATTCTGTCTTTAGTATTTTTCTTCTATCTGTTGTTCTAAATGTGTTTCTTTTGTCTATGATGCTCTCACTGGTTTGTACATATTCTAATTTGATTAATGTGTCTTATGGTCTACAGAATGTTGATCATATTTTCTCTGAATTGATGGGTTACCTTTTGGCGTTGCTCCCTAACTTTCGCAATAAATAATAGCTATGAACAGAAATGTTGTCTTTCCTTAATTTTTCCGTTAGGTATCTTAATATCATTGACATGCATGAAAGGGTTACATTCCATCCTGCATTTCTATGTGATTGCCAGGATGAAGAAATTTATCAGCAGGATTGAAAATATACAATGATTGCATTAATACCGAACAGTGCTAGTAGATGAAAAGAAGAATTACGAGCGGTAAAGACGAAGTTGATGGATAAATATAGGTGAATGGGAAGTCAAAACTAGCAAGTACGTAAGAAGACGTTTTAAAAGGTGGACACTGGAGTAGTTTTCTCCAGGTGGAAAGAAGCCCATGCATCAAATCATCCAGTAAGTCTATGGACTTGGACAATGTGAGAACGAGGCCTTTGAGGGATGGATGTACCTTCAATTTTATGCAGTTCTGTCTGAAGAGGACTCTCTTGAACAGGAAAGGAGAATCTACTGAAACACTCTCAAAGAGGAAACGGGGAGATACGAGATTTGTTAATTAGGATCGCAGCCTAAAAATGGATGAGATCCTACGGTCTGTGCTGATTTGTAGGACAGCTGGTGGGGATTCTAATCATAAAGATACCATTGGAGGACACCTGGTGGAGAGGAAGGCTATTCAGGAATGATGTTAGGCAAGCGAATATTCTCCTCTGCTAGTTCTTTGATCCTGTGGAAGTGGAAAGGTAAGAGGGTGCTTTAACTTGTGAGTGAGATCTGGTTCCCAGGAAAATCCCAGTCAACTAGAGTTTCTAGGATCATAATGCGTAAAGTAATTTGACTTCCAGCATCTGTCTGGATATTATGTGCATCTTGCTGCAGTCCTCGTGGTCTCCTACTACCCCATTTACATCTTCACTTCTTTTTCATAAATTTTTTTTAAAACTGATTTTTTTCGGAAATCATTGAGCATATGTTCCTGGTTTTCATCATGAGGATATCCTCTTGACATTTTGCTTTTTGTTTACTATTCCAACCTTTTGCATTTGATTGTCCTCGGCAACTTCCTACATGGTTGATTGCATAAAAAGGATCAGCCTCTGTTACCCTATCCTACTTAGTCAATCGATTTGTTGGACTCTTGTAGATCACCATCAGAGCATCTTAAGGACATTCTAGTTTTGATCTCTGATTAAAAAAACATCAATCCTGAAACTAGGAGCCACTTCCACGTAAGTCTGCTCCTTGTGTCTATATCTATCATGATTGATTCTTCAAGGATTGTTGTTTTATCTTCGATTTTTGAACCTTTTGATAGATCCTATACACACCATCTGAATTTAAAATTTGATTATAATTAAGATTAGGTACCTCAACTTAGGGAAGGATAAATGGTAATATTCGTTTCCAAAAGAAAAGGTCGTCTTCATAGTTTGTGAGATTCAATTTTTTAAGTTGTGATCCGGGCTTTATAAATTTGTAGCATTAAACTGACTCTTATTTATTCTTTACTATGAGGCAAAATGAGGTATACGCTTGTTCAATTTATTTTTAGGAATTTTCAGTTAGATCTGTTACTCAGAACAAGCTTTTTACTATATTAGGCTTTCCTTCTATTTTTCCTTTCTTTCCTATTATTAGATGTATTTCCTTTTTCGTGTTTCTGTTATTAGACCTTTCCGTAATACTGGAAAGGTTTATTAGATGCCAATATAAATACTGGCGTACTGCCCTGAGAAGGGCTAAGTCAGTTTTTCCTTTCCTGCTTCTGCTGTATCTCGTAACAAGATCATTTATTGTGAGAATAGTTGGGAGAAATTTTTCGCATTTCACCTGTTTTCGAATGATACTGAGTAATTATTGTGTAATGATGTTGATATTTTTCCATAAAATGCAGGGCTATCTTGATTTTGGGCATTTTTCTCCTTTCAACTATTTTACGGCTGGTTCTGGACCAATAACCTTCGTTCAAGTCAGTCCATTTTTTTAGCTATCATGCAACATAAATTTTATATGTTGTGAATTTCTTAGCTTTCTTTATTTAATATCTTATATTCTTGCGTGGATATTATGTTGATAAATTCTTTTTTAGGCAAGTTTTTTACATGCTTAATAATCAGAACTATTCGTGTATGATATTTTATCATCATTGTGCCCAGCTATTATTGAAGTACGTATATTGCCATTGGCCATTTTTAATTTGATGACCACATAAGAACTACAAGCTATATCAAGCCTTACTTTTACTTGTAAATTGGAAATCAAACACTCTGGTAAAGAAGTGAAAGATAGATGAGTCTTTGACTAAGTTGCGATTTTTAACCTTTTGAGAAGGACATGTTTGGATGGAGTGTACAGATGAAATATATTGAAAAAGATATGCATAATGACAGCCTTCCACTTTGTAATCACTTGTAGAATAAAAAAAATTACTTCCTTTATGCATCTTTCGAGATTTTGCACATCATGGGTGGACAATTAAGAATCAATTAGGCTAAACTGTAAGTATCATTCAAATGGCATAGTCAACTTGTAGAAGATTTGACCACTCTTTGCTTGATATAAATGGGACAGTTATGTGAACATTTGACAAAGTCACATGATTTTACCTTTATGCCGAGGAATTCTCAATTACCTATCTTCTAAACGGAAGCCAAACAATCAGATGAAGGAAATTAATCAATCATTTATGCTAAGAGCTGGAGGCATTACGCTCAAATGGGTTCTAATGGGACTTCCCCTTTCAACTACCTTAAGTTTACCATAATTGGGTGAGAAATGAGGTCACGTAAAGTGTGCGAAATTGAAACCCTATGTAATCAGTTATGGGCCAACAGTTGGTATACCAAGTGTTGGCAACTGTGGTAAATAGAATGACGGTTTTATAGATGTTGAAGCTTGACAGAAATATAGAATTCCTTACACAAAAAGTCAAAAGTTGACCAGGGTGACGCCTTTAATGGTGCAAATGTTGACACCTTGAAGTGTTGACACCTTATAAGGTGTTTACCACAGTTGTCAACACTTGGCAGAAGACGTCCTTCCGAAAGGCATGCTTCATGTTATCTTGCTGGAACACCATGTCAAAATCTTAGCAGCTACAAGACAAATACGTTGTCAACACTTGCAGCTTCTCAGCAATATGTTCTCCAAAAGTGCAAGTGGAAAATCAATAAAAGCTAGCCTTCAAGGATACCTTAGAAATTGCTAGAATGAGATTTGAAGGTATAAAAAACCATATGAAAACAAGGCCTTATGCTGTTCTAGCAAAAAAGGCCTCTCAGGTACTCAATGGTCATCATCCACCTCTGAAATACTTCTAAAATCTTCTTTAGTATTTCGACAAGTTTGCTTTAGGTGGAGTTAGTTTTAGTCTTTTTTTCTCTTTTTGGCATTTCGAAGTGTGAGCTTCCTATTGAGCAGGATTTACGTATGCTAAGGCTGGGTTGACACCATGAAAAGTTATGATGTGTATAAGGTTGAGGAGAAACCCAGTGAAATACCATAGAAAAATCTTGGAGATGGGAGAAGGTTAAATATTGACTTAACTACTATGAATAATAAAAGTGCAAATGATTCCTTTAGGATTCCTTCAGGAAAATCTAGAACTAGCATTAAAAATTATACCGACACTCTTTTAGTTTTTTATACCAGACCAGGATCTTCACACATTTTACGCAAAGAAAAATTCTAATGATGAACAATAGTTATGTGAAATTAATTTTCGTTTTCTGCCTGGTGACTCTAGCTAATTCATTGTCAAACCGTTTTTACTTTGGAAGGTTAATGATCATAATATACACCATGCACATACTGTTGTCTCCTGGATTCTTTTTGAAAGTTGAAGGAAATTCTTGGGATTTAAAAGCTTAAAATAGCCTGTCAGGCATGACTTTATATTTCTTTTTACATTACAAATATGCACCATTATTGTGAATATAAAAACATTCATTTCCACATGAAATTTTCCTTGCATCTCTAGTAATCATCTTCCTCTCTTTTCACAAGACTCATAATATCATGAGGAAGAATTTCTATGACTGCCCTTTTTCTTTTTTTCAGCTCTTATTAGACTTTAACGCTGTCATCTTTTTATTTCTGCATGTCTGAGTCTTACAGAAAAAGAGATAATATACAATTTAACATATTGTCTCTCTGATGCATGTACAGGAATTTTACATTGGAGATCTTGCAAAATGCGAGAATAGCTTCGATAAGATGGGGCGCACTGCTCAGGTTGCTTTCTGAAGAGTTTCTATCTTTTTGGATATGAATATTTTGATATTGAAATGCTGATCTAAGACTACCTTTTTAATGTTTACTGCTAAGATTTATAATAGTTTATTTTATGCAACGATCAGGTTAATATTATCTGCGGAAAATGCTTAAATGGAGTTTGTAAAGGTATGTCAGATTTTCTCCATTTATTTCCTTTTTTTAATCATATTGGATGTGTATTAAAGCTTTATTCTCCAACAAAGATTTAAATATTTTCCACCAATTTGCTCATCTACCAAACAGAATTGTCTACCAACAGTGTGCGTTCAAATGGTTTTGCTGCATCTATCCTCTCTTCAAAATATTATGTTGAACATTTCAGACCGCTCACCACCTTTATTTTGCTTACTATCTTGGAAAAGTGTAAAGGACCAAACTTATTATTTTTGGAATGTCACCTTTTGACCAGAACTGCAATCATGATATCCTCATAGTCATCCCAGGCTGGGAATTTCTTTTTCTTTCAACTCGCGTAATGTATGACACATTTTTTACGTGATTTTGCCTCTTTCTGAAGTTTTTGAAGCTCCTCTTATCAACTTCATAGCCATCCTATCTGCGAAAATTTTGAAAACAAATTCTTCGCTTTACTGAGGGTATTTTCTGAAGCACTTTGACGTGATGGCACTCTCCAGCCATATTTTACTAGAGACACGACTAACCTTTGAAAGGATGACTTCTCAAATTTTGAAGTCAGGCTATTGAAGTTAGATTTCTCAAAAACCTAGCTCTCAACTTCGTCGCCTGTACCAAGGGCATGTTTTGCCCTCATATCATAATATATTAAATTATGTATTCTTTTTTTCCAAATTCAGCCAAAAATTGTCCCTATTGTCGTGTGTCGTCCTATTGGGCGAATCTTGCTGTGTCATTTATGGCATTCTTTAAGGTCCATTTATGGCGACTTTGACCGTGGCAACAGAAGCACACTGATTGTTGCGGACACTGTATGGTCATATACAAGTAATATCTGGCATATCACATTAAAGTTACATTGCTATTCAATCACTGTTATTTTCCTCTAAAATCATGAGTTATATTTATAATTGAATATATCAAATTGAAGTTACATCACTATTCAATTCTTATTTGTATGATGTGTTCATTTGTAATACAAAAAATTATGATAGAAAGACAAATAATATGATTTTAATGCTCATAAAAAATGCATATACTAGTAATATGTTATAATGTCAAATGACTATTGTCATAATGGCTATTCTATGGTTTAGACTCAAATGATATAATTGTAATCGTTTTTAATCTTTCTCAGGATCTAAGAAGAGACTGTGAATTGTTGATTTAGTATTTTTTTGTAGGGGATAATTATCATGCAAGGAAGATTAGCATGCTTACGTAAATGGGAAAACATATATTTTTACACATATTCCACACGTGAAGTTGGATGAGGCTATAAAATTCATTGTTTTAAAATGTGAAATATGATTTAAATGAATTTAAGCAATCATCCCGCCAAAGGCTTCATGTTCATTGAATTGCAGGATAATGTTGTCTCAAATGATGACTAACAAAGTATGTAGATTGTCTTTTAATGTTCCTTTTATTAACTATTATCCTAGACTGTCATCATACTCTATATCAGTTGGCAGAGATCATTATTCATTTGGAGAGTATGCTTGTCATTATATACAAGCATTCAATTAATGAAGAATATTTTAATACAATAATCGATTCAGATGACGACTCTGACAGAGAGGAAAGAGTAGAAAACATAATTACAATATGCATGATTTTCTCTGGATATGATCCAGCATAAGTTGAAGATACCATCATCCCGAGTTTTGCTCTTCTATTTGTTTACCATTGTGCTATCACAAATAACCCGTGATCGCATAGACCTTGAGGTACACTTACTAGAGCTGGACCTTCAGGAATGACCTATCTACCTATCCCATATTTCTTAAGTTTATTGCCCCCTATCCAATTCCTCTGTAGTACTTTCCTAGAGTCAGATCTGCTTAGTGATCAGTAGGAATAGTTTTGGCTGTGTGTAATATGAAGCTGTTCCAAGGATCCTCTACTTCACTGTATAATTATTTAATGAATCCGTATTTCACTATCTTCAGGTGACCTTGGCTGCATTTGCAATGTGGCATATGATTCAACAATGTGCAGGTATTCTCCCAATTTTGGAAGGAACATTGCTTATTTCATTCCTTTTGGGTTCTGTGTCTTTAAGGCATAATTATCCCCTTCTTCATCATTCACAAATTGCTAACTTGTGGTGTATGGGAACAGATCTTATCAAGTTCTTCTACTGTATTTCACATTATCTAAACTTGACATGTACAAATTCACATAAACTTGTAACATGAAAAGTTCAAACGCTCAAATGTCAATAGTACTCTAAAACGACTGTACCCGAAATTTATCTTCTTTAACGGATTTTTTTGGACATTATAATTTACACCTTACAGTTTTACTTCTCAATCTCTTATTTTCCTTCTTTTGTTTTCTTTTTTTTATTTTTTTCTTTTTTTCTGAGAGGATTAACGGCACCAATCCTAAAGTCTTCTCAATCAATTGTAGATGACATCGCATATGACCATCTTTTCATTGTTTTCTCTTAGGGAAAGCATACAAACATTTCTCTCAATATTTACTGCAATGTATTTTAGATCTTGAGAAATTTTTAGATATTGCATGGTAGCATTGTGACACTTTCGAAAATGTGGTGGTTCCTTATTGAAAGGTATATACGGAGCCAATTGTTATTCCTGATATTTCTAGCAATATAGACCTTTTTGTTTCAGTAAAAAAAGATAGGGTCTTATGACTTTTGGCTCTGTTTATCGAGAACTAACATAGCAAACTAAAAAGAGTCGGAATCCATAGTAATTGTGTCACATGTTCGTTCTGAACTGCTCATATTAATTTGAGTTTGAGACACAGTAAGAGGGATTGTAGCAGAAATATGAAGGGATTCTAGACTTTGGTACCTCTAACCTATTAGTATTACTGATATCTCTAGGATATGAAGGGATTCTACATTCTACATTCATAATAGTGATGAGTAGACAGATTTTTCTTTGTAATTGTAGGAGAAATTTTTTGGAGTGGATCCAGATGTTTCGGCGTCCTTCCATGATGATTTTCAATCCTCTAGAAATATTAGATCCACACTTGATAGTAAACAAGGCTTTTATCTTACCCTCACAGGAGTATGTTGGTGTAGTCTGCTTCATGGACAATTTCTACTGATCAATGGTGGCTTGGTGAAAGTTAAAATGAGGAGAAGGAGACAAGTACACAATTCTACCAGAATATATTATTAGTATTCTCATCAAATTTGGTGAGTCTCATCTCCATTGAACGTGGGGTTCTATGCCTAGAGAATTTGACTTTGTCATCTTCCTTCTTGTGATCAAATACTTGGAGGTTATTAACTTTTCATGGATTTTACATGGGGATGAAGAAGAACACTTGAATCATTTATTGTGCCGCAGCACATGGCTGATATGGAAGATGATCTTTTCTACAGCATGTATTAGGAGTTACATTCCTATGGATATAACAGAGATATGGAGAAGTTGGGGGAGAAACTGGAATATCACAGGGGAGAATGTAGTGCGGTGACTCATACTACACATGACCCTGTGGTCTATTATGAAAGGGCAGTTTGGTCGAAGGAGTTTGTCATTTCATCTTTGCTTGTGTGCGAAATTGGACTAGGCTTGTGTGCGATCTGAGAGAACACAAATTTTCCGTTCTGACAATCCTGCTTATGTAGAGTAGCATACATTATTTTGGTGGCGTTCTTTAATCTTTAATATTGGAAGGGTTATCTGTTTTTTTGGAGCTGACTCTGTAAGCATCTATATCTTAGCCTTCTTTCTTAATGATTACGTAGCAGTGCCCACCTTTAAAAACTGGCATCGACCAAGAAAGGTAAGGATTCATATCGTTAGTCTTTCCCCTTCCCTCCTCTCAACCCTCCCAACAGATAGGCAAATAAAAGAAGAAACAGAATATTCGTAATCTGCTAACGGATGATGTGATGGTGAAATTAAGGGAATTTTTTCAGTAAAAATGCCTCTTACCTGTTAAACAAGAGAACACTGGTGCCTTTCATATTTTCTCCTCTGACATGTCAAACTTAACCAAGCTCAAGTTTTAAGGACTGGTTCCTGTCATCAGTGCATTCTATGTTTTATGAAGGTAACAGAAGTCCGTAACTGTGATTCAGTCATTATTTAAGACATGCATTTATTTTATAAATTTTATAAAATCGTTACCTCCACAGTTCTTCAAAACTTGATTACAGATTTCTCACTGTAATCTAGGGTCTTTGTGGAGCTTGCTATTCCATGCATCAGACAAGGTTCTCGAGTTTTTGCTGGTTTTACGGCTGGCTTTCATCCTCGAACTTGGGAAGTCGTGAGCTTCTCTTTACTCATCCAATTTGTCAAGCTTTGACCCATAGTCATTTAATATTCGTATATACCCATTTGGGATCGAATTCATCTGATCTAATATGTCGTTTGACTTACTCTAATTCACTTATCAGGTTTACGATGGCTTGACCCAGCTTGGCTTTGAACAAGCTCGCCGTGAATTCAGGTTAGTAGCTTCTCAAAAACTGCTTGCTTTTCTGTACCGATTTCAGTTTATTTGGTTAAGGTATTATTTTTCTTTCACATGTGTTCAGCGACATTCAAGTTTGAGAAGGAAAAGAACATGTGTCTTCGACGTGTTCTTTTCCTTTAAAAAGATTAAAAATGTATAACATTGTCAACCTCTCCAACTCAAGGGCAACCTATGTGAACGAGAGACTCATTTCTTTCCCAGTCTCCTTTGTTTCATGTTTGCGTAGTTTCATCATGGGGCCGAGTTCCTACTTCCACCTCATCATCAAATATATTGGACATTAAATATGAAAGTAGTGAATCAATGTGCCTTTTACCCCACGCTGGTGTCTTTTTAACTTAGCCTATGAAGTAATTTATTTCTCAGGCCTTCTCCCTTTCCTGTCTAATTTGGAACTAAGAAATCTAATCTTATTTCTAACAGGATTTAACGGATGACCATCCGTCTCACTGTAGAATCTATGGGTCCTTTGACTAGTCCTTTGAATCCTACACCTTAATTGTATTTGACATCTGTTTCCTAAAATATCAAATATACAATTTGTAGTATTAATATTTTCATTTAATAGTGCCCTATAGGCTCGCCTGTAAAAGATACTGATGGATGTTTACTCTTATGAAAGTTCTATCTTTGTGCTATCAATTACTCTGATCTGTTGACTATTCCCTGACTTATCTTGGAGGCCGAATTTGCAGTTTTGGCACTGAACAGACTCACGTTTCGCTTTATTTGACTGCCATGACTTATCTTTCAGACCTTGTCGGAAAACCAACTTTTAAGGTAACGGAACATTTCTTTTTTTCTGATTTTGGATCAAAGATATCAGTTGTAATGGTTCTTTAGCAGGTCTATCCAGAAAAAGGATTAGAAGTCAAGTTATCAGGCTCAGGGGCGGACGGCAGACCCCCAACAACATTGTCACCTACAATATTGATAGTAAACTGGAGATGTAATGTGATTGTTTCAGTCGAGTTTCATTTTTATCTGTTCTCTTATTACTGTATTTACGGTGATATTTGTTATGTTTTCAGGTGAGGATGTCCATGATCAGCCCTACGAGGTTCTCATTTCAATTCCAGTTGAAGGATATGATCCTGTTGAGTTTACGCTTACCAAACTTTGTGGTCAGTCTCTTCGGAATCTCACTTATCTCAAAAAACTCATTTTACCCAGAAATAATCTCATTCAGTTCGATTCTCTTGAGAGCTCCACCACTTCCCTGTCTGGGGCACGGATCATTAATACCCTCATTTTTAATTATGATCGTCTTAAGCTTAAATGAGAGAGAGAAAGTCGGGTACTATTTGACTTTGTACCGTGAATAAAAACCCTGTTAGACCAAGTTCTTGATAGTTCAGTATGTCAGGAGATGCGTCTTTGCAGAGAATCGTCTCAAAGTTGTCCATTGATCTATACTTTGTTATTTTTATGCCTGTGCTTCACATATATCTGTAGTCGTTTCACAAAATCAAATCCCCTTCTGTGAAAATAGGTAATCAATCCAACTGCCTCTCTCCTTTTCATGATCCTGTTCTTTGCCTCCCAGCTAAATCGAGACCCGTTTCTTTGATTCCAACTTAGATTTCTGTTCATTATGTCCAGAAATGAACAGTGGGAACCTTAAGCTTCCAATGTTGTCAGAACAGAGAGGTTGAATGATTGCCCAAACCTGGTAAAACCTTCCATAAATGAGGAAACCATTTGTCTCAATGTTGTCATTACTGCACAAATCACCATCATCTCTCTGCATCGCCACTCGCATTTCTGTCATAAACGCTGGGATCCATTATGAGGCTTCATATGAGCAATTAGTTTTGCTTCTTGCAGAGTTCAAGCAAGAGAGGGAGGGCGAAGCTATGAGAAGCTGGGCAACCTTTGGAGTCATCTCCTGCGTGTATGTAAAATCTACGAAACTTTTCATACTCTCTGCAACTTTGGCCTTCAAATGCCTACACATGGTTTAGCTCTAATGGTGTTCCTACTCTTGCCATTCTATCCAGCTTCATTGTGCTGTCTACTGTTGCATGCTGTGGGGGGTTTCTTTATAGGAGTCGCATAGAACACCAGGTAGGTGTGTCCTCCTAAGTGATTGATAGGACCCCATTTAAAGAAAAAAGAAGAAAAAAATCTTCCATCTTTGGTTTTTTCAGTAGAACTATTCCCCTTTAGCTCATATTACTTGCCTTGTGCAGCACGGCCTTGATGCACTACCAGGAATGACAATTTTATCTGCCTGCTTAGAAACCGTGAGTGCTCTCTCTCTCTCTCTCTCTCTCTCTCTCTCTCTCTCTCTCTCTCTCTCTCTCTCTCTCTCTCTCTCTCACTCTCTCTCATCAAGTTCATTGGCAATTGTTGTTTGTTCCAATCAGATTACTGGCCCACGAGGCTACATGCAACCCGGAGATGTAAACAGAGCCTTCATCAACCAATCATCCTGGGAGGATCCGAGTGCCTCCGCTTCTGAACCACCACAGAGACCAAGTGAGAGGAAATACGGATCGATCTGAGAGACTGGGTTCGAATGCTGCCTCCTCTTTTTCTCATGTGATTTCTGGCTTCTTCCTTCTCATCCCCTCCACAATTCTCTGTCCATCTCTTCTTACAACAGATTGCTGTTTTCCATGGCCAAAAGCTCCAATTTTGACTGACTCGGCGTGTCCATATAACTTCTGCATACTCCATTCGCTGCTATAAACCTGGGTATGGGTTACGTTCTCTAATATTTATTCATAAGCCAATTCAACAGAGGAAACTTATAGCCTGAAACTTGCTTATGATTCTGTGCTTGTACTGGGTTTCAATGGGCCGGGCCGGGCCCTAAATTTCCAGGGCCCTTAGAACTTCTTCAACCTCATGACGTAGGGTTTGGAGGTAGGAGCTCATGGTAGTATGAACCGTACAGCCAGGTTTTTAGGGTTTATTGAGCCCATTGAAGCTCCTCTGTGGTTAGGACCTCATGATGGTATGAACTTTATAGGCAGGTTTGGTGTTTACAGGCAGATTGTTTTTACAGTTTTAACCCAGAATTGTAACAAATTCTCTAAACCTCCGCCATTGGTGTAATATATATAGAAAAAATACTAAATATCTATTTTTTTGGAAAAAAATCATCGAGTTCTGCTATAGTTCATCTTAGGCTCAATAGCCCCCAACTCTTGACAAATTATTTGAAAATTATTTAGTTTTGTAGAGATTAAAACTAGCAAGAAAGGGTTTCATCACTTAACAGATTAAAACTATTTATTTCTTTGGGAAATTGCCCGCTTTTTTTTCCATTAATAAAAAATTGCATTTTTAATTCTCTCCAATTATGCTTTTTTGGCTTGACGAGAGGGAACATGTTATTCTCTGCCTTCTGCAATCCGGAACCTGCTCTCCTACCTTTTTCAGCAGCAGCAAGCTGCCCCCTCCTCTCTCTCCACCCCTTCCCAATGACCTCCCTCAAACCCCACATCCAACCGTCGCGAAGAAGCCCGGCCCTCCCTACCATCTCTCCTATCTCCGCCTCCCCTTTCCACCTCCGCCCACCTGAGAACACGCCACGAAACCCCTCGAGCCTGCTCCTTCGAGCCGCCAAATCCAACCAGGCCCAACCCCAGAAGAAGCCATCACCGTCGCCGCCGCCGGTCGTCTCCGCCGGCGACCACGACGAGGATGGCATCCCATCGGACTGCGTGAAGACCCTGGCCAGATTCAAGTCCAGGTACAACTACATCAGAGTCCTCGAAGTCTCCCGCAGGGCCGACCACCAGTTCGCCGGGTCCCGCCTCCTCCTCCTCGATGCCCCCGGTAACATCCACAGCATATCCTTCCTCCTCAAACTCCTCACCACCACCTACTTCGACGTCTTCGCCACCTTCCCCCCCGTCCTTCCCCCGGGCCCCATCGGGATCCTCGGTTTTGGGGCCGGTTCCGCCGCCAGGCTGATCCTCCACCTGTACCCAGAGGCCCAAGTCCACGGCTGGGAGCTCGACCCGGCGGTGGTCTCCGTGGGGAGGGAGTTCTTCGGCCTGGAGAAGCTAGAGAAACAGAACCCAGAGAGGCTTTTCGTTCACATCGGCGACGCCCTGCAAGGGGAGGTGGGAGGGGACGGGTTTGCCGGGATCTTGGTGGACCTCTTCTCCAAGGGCAGCTTGATCCCGGAGCTTCAGGATTCCGAAACCTGGAAGAGGTTGAAGAGGAGGTTGAGGAAAGGGGGCCGGATCTTGGTCAATTGTGGTGGGAGCTGCGTTGAGGCGGAGGATCCTCGCAGAGATGGGAAACTGGTGATGGAGGAGACCTTGAAGGCCATGGATGAGGTCTTCCGCCAGGACTTGTACGTTCTGAATCTGGGTCATCGGAGTGAGGACAGTACCCTCGCGTTGACTGGGCCTCTGCCTGATCTCAGTGCCTGGAGGCAGGCATTGCCTTCACCCTTGAAGCATTACGTTGACATGTGGACTCCTTTCCGTGGGTAAAGTTATATTCTTTCCGTGAACCATTAAAGCAATTTTCTGTATCTAAAAGAAATGAGCCTACAAAAATTTTATCTTCTGTTTTCACTCATCATTTGGCATTCATCCATTTTAGTATCTCAATCTGTTTCTTCGTGTAGTTCCTAGGCCAGATTATTTTACGCATCTTAAGGAACCTGTTGCTTCCCTGTTGCTTCCAATTTTTTTGTCAAATGATTTGACGAGCATCTCAAGCTCATGTTGGTCAAAGCTATTCAATTTCTTGGTTTTTCCCCATTTTAGATCCTAATTGTAATTTTATTTTTCACAAAATTTGAAAATCCATGGATGGGGCTGATTTACATTTCCCAAATGATTTTGTGATGCATTCCCAAACCCAGACCCTTTAGACTCCTGTGAAGAGTCACTGGACCGACTGGTGCTTCATAGAACCTGCTCCATGGCGTTGACTAAATAGCATTAGAGGGTCAACTCTGGGTTCAGGCTAGGCTTCACAACGCCTGTCCCAGCCTCTATTGACCTGGCCACAAGCTGTTACAGCTGCCGTTGAGCTTGTGACCAGGATCTATAGAGGTTTCATCGGCCAGGATCTGTAGTTTGACTGTCTCTTCGAGAGTGATACAATGGACACCATTTCAATTCTTCGCTTTGAGAGGTGAATGTTTTTAGATGTGTAGCTTAGAAAACCTTGCAACTTCATATTTTCAATGAAAGTACATAAAAAATTTGAACTTTAGGTGGCCCATCCAACATCTCTAGAAGCTGCTCTTTTTCTTCATGAAGGAGACGGCTGTTCAATAAAATATACTACAATATCAGCCCATAGTTAAAGGACTCATAGTGAATGGGTTCCACAGTGGAAGTCAAGAGGGTGACTTTTTCCTTTCTTCTTTTGGTGCATATCACGTTTTCTTACCCATTCACAGATGTCCAAGAATTTCCAACTATGTCATGGTAGCTGCGTAGAGATTTATCATCGAACTATTCTATGTAAAGCAAGGAAATTTAAATTCAAATTTTAACAAAAACGAAAAGAGAATACGAAGAGTCAAATATTGGAAGATTCAAAAGTTGTTATGCCACATTATAAAGACTCTATTTATATCAACTTGGCAAAAGAGGTAAAACAGAAAGGTGCGCAGTCTTGGGGTGGACTTCGAGTCCCAGCACCACGCTTTTTCCCCCTGAAGAGAAAGCCGACGCACGGAGGAATCCAGTTGGGAGACGCCTTCGTTGTCTCGGATCCCCTGAGAGACGAGGAAGCCCACTTCCTTATCCTCTGCAACGGTCAAATCGTGCAGCAGATCATGGATCCGGCAACTTACCTCAATTATCGGGCCAGATTCATCTTGCACACGTATCACCATGCACCTCTGGACGAGCTCTTCCAGGTAATCCTCTGCAGTTTCTTCCAGTGTTTCACCTGCTCTTTGCTCGACGAACCCCTCCGCGACCCACAATCCGATCAGCTTGTCGACATTAATCTCGAAGTCCTCTGGAAGAGAACTGAAATAAAGGAAACAACACTTTAGGCGACGGGGCAAGTCCTCGTAGCTCAGCGCCAGTATATCCAAGCACACTCGGCCATCTTTGCTGGTTTCCCAGACGAGCGTCTCCGCGACCCTCTTCCACGCCCCGAGTGATGGACCTTTCGTGGACAGCAGACCGCCGAGCACCACCAGAGCCAGAGGCAGGCCCCCGCATTTCCTCGCGATTTCTTTCCCGACATTCCTCAGCGGTTCTGAACAGACTGCTTCGATATCCTCCATGATACGGGAACGCCTTCTTGGAGAGGAGCTCCCAGCTCTCCTCCTTGCTAAGTAGCCGCAGCTCAAGGAGAGGGGTAGATGGGTCCGCAGCTCGGGGGACGTCGACGTAGCGGGTGGTGATGAGCACCCGGCTTCCGTTCTCGGCGTCTGGGAGATGCGGACTGAGGATTGTCCAGACCTCCTTGTCCCACACGTCATCCATGACGATCAAGTAGTTCTCCGCCTTCAAGGTCTGGTAAACCGTCGCTTCACACTCGGTCCTCGTCATTTGCTCGAGTTTCTTTACTTTGAGCTTCGTGACCTGCCGAAGAAAGTCTCGAAGGAGACTCTCAGCTGAGTACTGCTGGGAGACATCGATCCAAACCGAGAGACTGAACCTGGCTTTTGCTTCGTTGACGACTCTCTTAGCAAGAGTGGTCTTCCCGAGGCCGCCCATCCCTACAATGGAGATTACCGACCGCCTCTTCCTGCTCCCGTCCAACAGATGTCCCAGGATTTTGTTCGTCTCCGCGTCCATGCCGACCAGATCAGCATCTGGGACATGGAGAATGGCCCGCCTTCGTTCCCGCACTGTCTTGTCGATCTGCTTCCCCCCAGGTCCTGGATTCCGTAGGTGATTCTTCGTTCACTGATTTCACGGATTTTGGCCCTTATGGCCTCGATCTCGTGTTACCAAATTGGTGGAATACGATGAAGCCGTTGGGGGATGGAAGGCGGCAACACACAATGGTTCTGATGAAGCAGCCCTTTCTCCGTCGTCCCCTCTGCTCGGCATCGAGGACGTAAGACTCGACGAGTTCCTCCGCCTGATAAGCGATTTCCCGCACCTGCCTCACCCAGTTCTTCACATTTTCGTCCCCCTTGCTCTTCGTGTCGGCATCCTTGAGGAAGCACTGCATCGTCTTGAGCTCCTCCTTGACCCACTCCACCTGATCTTTCACTTCGAACAGGAAGACCGCTTCATCGATGAGGAGATCGCAGATCCGTTGTACCACGTAGCCGAGAACAGCGTCCCCCATCCCTCTCCTCAGCTCGCCTCCTGCTCTCAGCCAGAAATGGAATGGTTTGCCGATGAAACTTCTCACCTATGTTCCTTCTGTCGTTAATAAGTGGCGAAGGATAATAATAAAGAAGATACGAGCGCAGATGAGTTGACCTGGCTGTTCGTCGACCGGGCGAGCGCAGAAAAATAAGAAAAAATTATAGCTTAAATGTTTTGTTCTGTTATTAGGATTAAAGCTGATGCGTGAGTGAAGACTAAAGTTGATGATTAACCCAATAATTTTGATAAAACATGATTTATCGTACCCACTTATTTATGAAACAACTTACGAGATATTGAAAGCTGAATTGGCTCAAGAGGAGCAGTCACATGTCAACGATCGTGGCACGATGGAAAAGCTTAGACCGAGGAACCTCCGGGGTGGAAAGTCCATCGCCAAGTAATACATCTCGTCGCCCACCCGCTGTCAACAAATTGGTCAACAACGTTTCTTTTCTAACCCAACACGTCTTTGACAAACAAGGAAAAAATCTTTGAAATAATGCTCACAAAGAGAGCTGGGAAAATGACATGTGATAAGAGCAGTTTCTTTGCTAGGGAAGGCGATAAAGGAGATAATATGCATAAGACTAGTAATTTCCGCAACCTTCGTCATATCAAAGCAAGGTTGAAATTAATCAGAGTTGGCACAAGTTCCACAAAGTTAGGATGTGTGGACTTTGGTCATCCACGTACATTATAAAACCGAGCAAGTGACGATGATAATAGCATCTGAAGAGAAATGTCTCATGTTATATACATCCAGAATTTGATTTGCACGGTTCATTCTATAAGCTCGATGTTTCTAACGGCAAGGAGACCCAAGTTAATGTCAAAAACATTCTGGGCATGGAGTTTTAGCTTTTTGTGTGTGAGAGGAAATGGGGATGGAAGCGCTGCAGAGGGTGTAGTAGTATCGTCCATGGACTGCTTGAATGAGGAAGCAGAGGAGAGCTACTCTATATCAGTCACTCTTTCCGGATAATTTAAGGTTTTAAACAGGATAACACCCTTTCCGGAATTTAAACAATTAATTTTCTGAAATATTATTTAATATAAAATACAATTTTTTTCCCAAAATTAGTGATATTACTCCAGGTCGAACGCAAGGATAATCTTGATTTTCTGGCAAATTTTAAGATCTTTTTGATAATTTTAATAATTTCTATGATTTTTTCTTTTAAATAACTAATACTAAATTCCCAGCCGGCGAGGCTGACGGAGGAGGGACCGCGGGAGACGGCGGATTTGAAACCAAGCAGTGTGAGACCGTCCGGCGACAGCGCCGTGCGAAGGCGAGAACCAGACGACCTTAAGAGGAAGACGATCAGTAGGACGATCTTCATCTGCTCTGCCGCCGCCGCCGCCGCCGCCGCCGCCGCTGCTGCGGAAGGTTTTCCGGCGGGATGAGCATTCTCCGGCGCCGGTAAGTGTTCCATCTGTGAGTTTCGACGGTGACTAGACTAGTTATCTTTATTCTTCTAAAAATAGAAAATAAAACTCTTATGAACAATTGCAATGCCCAAGAGTATCGAGTACTTTAATGAGATAATGGCATGCTCGTTATTTCTGACATAGAGAGAGAGAGAGAGAGAGAGAGAGAGAGAGAGTAACAGAGGGAGAGCACACATTGAATCACAGAATGAATGCTCACACATCAGAAATGGAGACGGACGGCGACGGGTTTCTGTATGCTATCCATCTATCACAACGGTTACATATATTACATGAAAGACAATCCGCAATCCACTTGCCCTTAATCCCAAAGACTATTTTTGTTGGTGATTGAAGGTATGTGTTGGATTTTGGGCCAGTCTTCTCCCTCCTTTTCAGCTCTTGAATGGATTTGAGGGGACATATTCCACAAAACGAGCTCCTTCAGGGCAGCCATGTGTTGCAACCCTTCCGGAAGCATCGCCAACTTCTCGCAGCGGACGATCATCAATCTCCTCAGGTGGGGCATGGCCCCGGCCTCAATTACCCACCTCTCTAACTCGTCCAGTTCATTAAGTACGAGGGACTCCAGTTTCGGGAACCCGCCGCGGGAGCAGATCATCTCGTTTCCTTTGTAGGATCTAGGACCCAGATACAGATATTTAAGTTCAGGGAGCTTCTCGAGCGCCGCAATCGAGTCTTGACCCAGACTGGTTTTCCATAGTATGAGCTGGGTGAGATTGGGGGGCCACTGGTCGCCGCCAGAACTTGATTCTTGTGGTGGCCTCCTCACTCTCCCTAACAGCGATAAGACTTGAAGGGAAGAAAAGCTGGATGGTGTTGTCCATAGAAACTCTGGGACTGACTCGCCTCGTAAGCACAACTTCTTCAGGTGTCGCAACTCCGGCAGCCAAGATGACAGCGCGGGATGATGACAGTCTTTGATATCTTCTATTTCCAGCTCCCGGAGACTGGTAAGGCTCCCTAGGCAGCTATCTATCCACCTCCCGGCCCGGACCTCCTTGAGCACCTGCAAGTTGCTTAGGCCTGCCACCAGCATCTCCGGCTCCACTTCGTCGGGAACGATGACTTGCCTTAAGGCCTCGATCTTCCAGAAACCTCTCGGCATCGTTATGATTTCCGTCCACTCTGCGTCCAAGCACTGTAGATGACGAAGTTTCCCCACTGAAGACGGAAGACTCGTTATCCTTGTATTTTTCAAGCCCAAGTATCGAAGATGGATCAGGTCTCCAACTTGTTCTGGCAGTTTAGCGATTGGTGCCCCCTCCAGATCGACGACTCTCAGCAGTTTCAGATCTGGAAAAGGGGGGAAGGTTCTCTTCATATCAGATTCGGCATCGAATCCGAAGGACAGCAAGGTGCGCAGTCTTGGGGTGGACTTCGAGTCCCAGTACGACGCTTTATTCCCCTGAAGAGAAAGACGCCGCACGGACGAATCCAGTGGGGAGGCGCCTCCGTCGTCTCGGATCCGGTGACAGACGAGGAAGCCCACCTCCTTGGCCTCTGCAACGGTAAAATCGTGCAGCAGATCATGGATCCGGCATCTTACCTCAACTATCATCCTCAAGAGGTCATCATCTTGCACAAGTATCACCATGCACCTCTGGACGAGCTCTTCCAGGTAATCCTCTGCAGTTTCTTCCAGTGTTTCACCTTCTCTTTGCTCGACGAACCCCTCCGCGATCCACAATCCGATCAGCTTGTCGACATTAACCTCGAAGTCCTCTGGAAGAGAACTGAAATAAAGGAAACAACACTTTAGGCGACGGGGCAAGTCCTCGTAGCTCAGCGCCAGTATATCCAAGCACACTCGGCCTTCCTCCATGTTTTCCCAGACGAGTGTATCCGCGAGCCTCTTCCACGCCCAGAGTGACAGATCTTTCGTGGACAGCAGACCGCCGAGCACCACCAGAGCCAGAGGCAGGCCCCCGCATTTCCTCGCGATTTCTTTCCCCAAATTCCTCAGCGATTCTGAGCAGATTGCTTCGATATCCTCCTGATTCGGGAACGCCTTCTTGGAGAGGAGCTCCCAGCTCTCCTCCTTGCTAAGTGGCCGCAACTCAAGGGGAGGGGTTGATGGATCCGCAGCTCGGGCGACTTTTTTGTCGCGGGTGGTGATGAGCACCCGGCTTCCGTTCTGGGCGTCTGGGAGATGCCGACTGAGGATTTTCCAGACCTCGGTGTCCCACACGTCATCCATGACGATCAAGTAGTTCTCCGCCTCCAAGGTTTCGTAAAGCTTCTCCTCACACTGGGCCCTCGTCATTTCCTCGAGTTCCTTTACTCCGGTCACCGTGAGCTTCCGAAGAATGTCTCGAAGGAGAGACTCAGGGGAGTACTGCTGGGAGACATCGATCCACACCGAGTGACCGAACTTGGCTCTTGCTTCGTTGAAGACTCTCTTAGCAAGAGTGGGCTTCCCGAGGCCGCCCATCCCCACAATAGAGATCATCGATCGCTTCTTCTTGCTCCCGTCGAGCAGATGTCCCAGGATTTTGTCCTTCTCCTCATCCATGCCGACCAGATCAGTGTCTGGGGCATGGAGAACGACCCGCCTTCGTTCCCGCACTGTCTTGTCGATCTGCCTCCTCGGCTCTCCGCCCAGGTTCTCGATTCCGTAGGTGCTTCTTCGTCCATTGATTTCGTCGATTTTGGCCCTTATGGCCTCAATCTCGTTACCGAATTTATGGAGAACGATGAAGTCATTGGGGGGTGGAAGGCGGCAACACACAGTGGTTAGGATGAAGCTCTTTCTCCGCCGTCGTTTCCTCTCGGCATCGAGGACGTAAGACTCGACGAGGTCCTCCGCCTGATGAGCGATTTCCCTCACATCCCTCACCCAGTTCTTCACGCTTTCGTCCCCCTTGCTTTTCGTGTCGGCATCCTTCAGGAAGCACTCCATCGCCCGGAGCTCCCTCTTGAGCCACTCCACCTGATCTTTCACCGAGTACAGGAAGACCGCTTCATCGATGAGGAGGTCGCCGACCCGTTGCACGACGTAGCCGAGAACAGCGTCCGCCATCCCTCTCCGCCTCTCGCCTACTCTCAGCCAGATCTGGAAATGCTTATCCGGTCAGGCATCTCGCCTATGTTCTTGTGCTCGAGGGATAATATCTTCGTCGACTATGTCAATCATTGATGATTAGACATGCCAACTAATTATTTACTAAATCCAACGTATTTTTAGCAAATGCCGAGGGCAACATAGGAAATCATAAGATGTTCTTCACCTTAGATCGTCCATTCTAAGATGATCATGAGGGCTTAGCCTCTCTTATTTTATACCCATGAGCCATTGTCAGGGAGGAAGAAGATGGAGCATGATCCCAGAGGTTTTCAAACTCCTACCTTTAACATACGCCATCAATTCAAAGATTCTTTTTTTTTTATTTGTCATGAAAATTTCTGCAAAACCCAGAAAAAAGTCCAAAGTCCGATGGCTTCCTAACAGGTTGAGCAATGAAAAAGGACTAAAATAAGAAACAACGAAAATATTAATCACTTATTTGCCGATTTAAATTCAAAGAGAAGATTAAAATTACTCTGTTAAGGGATTTTTATGGCTGATGAAATCACTTCAAGTCAAATTATTTAAAAAGGATATCAAGCACTTGAGCAAAGCATGTAAATCATCCAAGGTATCAAATATACAGAACCAATGTACATTAAAAAAGAGTTAAAAGCCGGCCATTTCATCGAGAGAATCAATTCATAGTTCAAGCTAAAAGTTTCATAAAGTTAGGTGAAACATCAAGAGGGAACGGATTAATTGATTTTCTACGACTTTGAATATAGGTTTACTCAACTCTCTCTCTCTCTCTCTCTCTCTCTCTCTCTCTCTCTCTCTCTCTCTCTCTCTCTACAAGGGTTACTTCTTGCCTCTCTCATCACCATCAAAGGCATAGAGGATTTTTATACTAATTCACCTCTTGGCTGCTTTCAATCTTATAGAATCTTTTTTATTAGAGTTCACTATTTTCTCTTAGAAATACACACTAATTTAATAAGATTAGTGGTCCAACCACATTAGTCTAATCTCCTCATAGACCACACACTTCACAAGTACAATTAGACTCTCAGTACCATGTGTTTTAGTCCAAACCTTTCTCCACTCACCACCCAAATAGCTTAGGGCCCAAAAGAAAGAGTCAATATTTGAAAATAATACTTATTTAGATCACCACCATCAAATAAAGTATTGATACAGCTTTCATTTCTTCATCGAAGCTTGTAGTAGTTGAATCTTGATAGATGGAAAGAGATGTTCTTTTGAAGCAAAATTTCTATGTTATTGATATATCTTCATTCGAATTACCTCTTTTTCTTTGCAAGCTCCTTCATTTTATTATTCAATGGTTTCATATCTTTTTGTGTGTTGAAAAGTATCATACGAATTGAAAAAAATTCTCGTTACTTATTCTTTTTTTCAAAGTTTACTATTCTCACATCCAACTTTCGTGACTTAAAACAAACATTCTCGTTGTTGGAGTCAAGTCCAAATAAGGCAGTTGATTTTGTCATTATCTCCACATATTCTATGGATGTGTCACCAGTTAGAATATGTGATTATGTGTATTTATCGTTATATTTAAATATCTAACGTCTAATTAAAATTTATAAATAAAACTCAATAGATGAGGCAGGGAAGGAGAGGATATGATAGCCGGAAGACATAGAGAGAGAGAGAGAGAGAGAGAGAGAGAGATTAATTCAAGTAGACTAAGAGAATGAAGGCTTTCAACAAGATTGCATAGACTAATAACCTGAAGATGCTTTTAGCTTCTCTCAAGTAAACGCAATAAATGATAAGAAAGGTCTTCCCAATTCCATCCCTCTCGGACGGCACACTGCCCGGTTGTACACTGCACTAGCTGTCGTCTCTCATGGGCCCAAGTCAGCTTTCCCAACAATTTGCTATCAATATGACATCATCGCTGACATAAGAGATATAAATAGGTCAACGGTTTAGCACACACGAGCGCATATGACAAGCGTGAATGGCCCCCCCAACACTGCATGTATAGTACTGGTGGAACCCTTCTTAAAGAAGGGGGAGGAGGGCATGCAGGTGCTGGTAAGACAAAACGAGGAAAGCCCTGGGCAGCTATCACTTCTAAATAGAGGAAGATTGGGGCCTCTAGAGAGCCGCCCAACCTCCATGATTTGATATGTTCGCCCTTCAGAAACAGAATACATTTAATTCAAACCAGTCAGTCTTCTACAGGCATAGTGAAGGCAGCCAAGGCCGCCATAGGTCGAAGAGGGTGGTAAGGAATGATCGCCCTAGCTGCACGGAGACGGTCAAATCAATGAGAGCAAGAGAGAGAGAGAGAGATGCAGAGAGCTACCAGATGCCGCGATGGGGACCGCATACAGGAACGTTTGTACGCCGGGCCATAGAGAGATGGAGATGCCCGCGGGCCATGGGGCCTACTTGCCCGACGTGGGGATATCCGCCATCACGAGGACGCTCGAGGAGGCGAACCCTCCTCGTTCATGTATTTCCCTGCCGCACCTCCACTGAGCCGCGATGGTTCCTCTCCGCCGGCCGGTGGTGGAGGAAGACGAGAGGAAGGGGTGGAGATCCCGGAGATGGAAGATATTTGCACGGGGAAGAGGATAATGGAGCCACAGGGCGAGATAGGACGAGGAGAGGAGAGGAGTGGTGGGCTACCTTTCTCTTCGAAGGGTTTTCATCTCCTCTCCTGTGGCTTGCTCAGCGCCGCCGTCTTCCTCCAGAGATCTCCCAGCGCCCGGATCCCGCCCCCCTTCTTCCTCCCCCCGCTCAGCACGTCCTTCAGCTCGCCCCCGGCTAGAGGCGACCCGACCTGGTAGCTCATCCCCATGTGCTTGTCCATGGACCTGCACCGCTCCGTCACCCGCCGCCCGTTTGGAGCGGAGGCGGCCGAGAGCACCGCCGCCGCCGCTTCGGCCGCCTTCCGCCACTGCTCCGTCTGGACCCGCAGCGTCTTCATCTCCGTCTCGAGCGACGCCACCGCTCCCTCCACTGTCTCCAGCTGCTTCCCCAGCCGGTCCGCCCTCGCCCTGTTCGCGGCCGACTCTTCCACCGCGTCTCTGAGCTTCAGGGCCATCTCCTCCTCCCTGGTCAGTGCCGCCGCTGAGCTCACCTCGGCTTCCGCCAACTGGTTCTTCAGGCTGGCATTCTCCGCCAAGAGGACGTCGAGCTCGCCGACCATGCTCTCCGCGCTTCTGCCTTCGTCTCCGTTCATCTGGCCCTCCCTGGCGACTTCTATCAGCTGCATCGATCCGGCCTCCGGGATGATATCTGCCTCCCCCTTGCCACAGTCCTCGATCTTCTCCCTCTCCTCGTTAGCCTCCATCGCCGCCGGCTCATTCATTCCCTGATCTTCCTCAGACGAGGGATCCACGGGTGAGGCGGCTGCCGGAGGGACCAGATCGGAGATATCGACCTCCGTCGAGGGGACCTGGATCTCGCCCTCCACCGGTGGCGCATCCTCGGAGGGGGTCTCGTCGTGCTTCCTCTGAGCATCTTCCGGCGCGTCTGCGAATTCATCCACTCGTTCTCCGGCGGCAGAATCCGGAGCGACGGGAACCGACTTCACCGCCTCCTCCGGCTCGCGCTTTGAGCCCCCCTCGGCATCGTCTGCCGACGCCAGCTGCTCCTTCAGCTTCTTGATCTGCTCCTGTGCCTGCCCTAACTTCTTCTGCAGATCCGCCACCCTACTCCCGGCCTTCTTCTGGCTCCTCGCCGGGGACTGAAATGTCGATCACAGAGAACGCGTGGTTTTCAGATTGAATGCAGGCAGCGGACAAGGACCGTCCGGCGGCGACTCACCTCGGAAAGTGGACTGCGCGGCGATCGACGGTGGCTGTCCTCCACCTTCGGACTGCCGCGGCGGCTAGGGACGGCCCCGGTGGACTCGGGGCTACCAGTCTTCAGATGCAGAGGCGACGGAGGTTGCCACGGCTTTGCCTTCTGCTTCAGCTGCTGCTTCTGCTGCTGCTGGGGCATCTCGGACTCCCTGTTCGCGCGAACAAGAAGAAAACCAGCGATTACAACTCCACCCCGCCCCGACGAGATCCAACGTCATGTAAAAAGCAGGAAGATGAGGAGACCCACCTCGGCCGGGGCATCTCCGCCGCTCCAATCTCCGAACCCTATCCCGCCGATGCACGCTGCGGACTGTAACGCGAGCTCAGATTCGTAGTCCAGAAACAAAAAACAGAGCGGATGTAAGGAGGGATGAAGGGAGATCGGTGGGGGCAGTTCTTATCACCACACGGACGGCCGAGATTCGGAGATCCCGCGTCCCGAGAAATGCCAACGTTTGGGATAAAAAAAACAAGATCTCCGAGCTGGCCGGACTTGAAGAGAGAGCAGTACTACAATTTTACTATAATAAGAGTGTATTTTGCTCTACTATAATAAAATTGTGGTAAAATTGTATTTTGAAAATTATAGGGAGATCAGATCTCGCAGGGAGAAGCCCATTCCAAACTCAAAGCTAGGGAGCTCCGAAAAATTACTCTTGGGAAGGAAAAAAAATTGTGTTTTAGCCCCTCTGACCCTTATAATTAAGTACAAACTACAAAGATCAGGGCCTCCAAGAAATTTGGTGAGACATACTCCTTAAATAATATTTATAAAATATATATATATATATATTGTCACTTATCATCAACTATTTTTTTAAATAAAACCCTCTCAATACCATTTATAAATATTTTGACACATATAGTACATTTACCCAGTTTTTAAAAGAAATTAAACGAAAATAAGCTTGAAGGTGCTGCCAAAAATTCTGAAGGCACAATCATAAGAGCGCCATAAACCTTTCCTTTTATGAGATAATCTCCCATCTTTGACACATCACCTTAGAAAGTTAGGCACCTTGTGCCTCTTTGATTTTCCCATTAGCCTTTTCTTCTATCATCTTGCCATGTTCTGCAGCATCTAGAGGAGCATTCACTTTCCTTAGACTACTAGAAACCCCAAGAATCTTCTAGATCAACATGCCTCTATGTTAGTAGTTACCTTTAAGATCATCATATGTGAGAAATATGAGCCATTTTCTTCTAGAATGAATAATCTATGAATAGAACATTTAATTTAGTCAATAAAATCATTAGTTTATGTGAACACATGAAAATATGATTTTTTTTACACTTACAATTATGAGATAGAGAAAAATGCAAGAATGCAATGAAGGAGTTGAATACAAGGTGATGGGGTTTGCATTGGAATGATGTTACTTAGGAGGGTGGGTCAACTTACAAAAATTATGAGTGAAGTGATCAGTAAGAAAGTTGCATAAATTGTAGAGATTCATCTCTCAAGACCCAATTTATTCTTTAAATACTTGTTTGACTTTAGTTATCTATAAATAGTAAGTTAGTTGATTTATAGTTGTCAACAACTCGTCTTGACTAGATTCATGACTCTAATAACCTAATGCCTCCAACACTCATAAATTCATATTTCTAGGTGATCACTCACCATTCTAGATTCATTGTTCTAAAAATATTCGAGCATGCGCTATCACTTCTCGATAATGATAAGCTTTCATAGTCAATAGTCAATTTGACAAAAGGACTGGAACCTGTTCTTCCAAGTGCTCTTCCACTTATCTCATAGAGTTGATTGAAAAGAATTAAAATAATTCCAAATAGATAAATTCAAAGTTCATGTCCATGAGCGACAAGGTGACATGGAGTCATAAGTTTCTATCACAAATTTAGCACATTGAAAGGTTGTTGCAGGACATGAAACTTTGAAGTGTGTTCTCATCATTCTTGAGCCATCTGATTTCTCTTCACATCTGTTCTCTCTCTAGTAGTTGCTTGGAACACATTTCTTGTTATTTCAGCAATAACTTACACAAATTAAATCAATAACTTTAATTAATCTTACTATATTTTATCAGCATTAAGTACTAACTATTTTATCAAACCACTAATTTTATAGCAATAATGATCTCTATGATGAGCTTTATAATTATTTCAGACGAATTAGGCCAGAAAAAAAAACGCATAGTAGGTACTTAAACATGGCAAATTATATAGAGATATAAGATGAATGCAGTGCTTATTACGTGGGGTATTTTTGTCACGGACTCGGGCTTTTTGAGTTGCAGGAAATAGTTAACAATGTCCGAGTCCCTAGTAAGTGGTGGTGGAGCTGATCCCCGAGGTAGGACCACCGGGGAACCAGGAGATCATCGACTTGATATCTTGAATGCCAGCCGTCTGATGGTGGGGAACCAGGAGATCATCGACTTGATATCTTGAATGCCAGCCGTCTGATGGTGAGATTTGTCCGCATCCGCCGGTCGAGATAACGAGTTAATAAACTGGACCGGGTACCGAAAAAGGTGGCGGAAAGAGACAAGTGGTTAACAGCCCCTCAGCGGCTCTCGCTTTTGTCCCTCCTCTCTCTCTCTCTCTCTCTCTCTCTCTCTCTCTCTACCTGCTGGTTTCCTGTATTCTTACGAATAAATAAACAGCTAGGGAGAGAAAAGGAGTGATTGAACCTGATTTAAGCGAGCATTGGAATTTGGAGGCGGACGAGGTGGGGCGGAGGACGGAGGGGGGAAGAAGAACGGAGAGGGAGAGAGAGCTGCCGGGAGGGGCTTGTGCTTGTTCTTCCTTGTCTAGCGTTGGGGGATTTCTAGGGCTTGTTGGATTGAGGAAGAGGGGAAGGGATGGACGGAGCGGCGCATCACGCGGATACGGATATGGCGGAGGTCGGGGGCCCGCCGCAGGACCCCCCGACGACGGCACCGGCGGGAGCTGTGGCCAACGCGGGAGGGGAGACAATCCTCGCGACGCTCAGCCACGGCGGCCGCTTCATCCAGTACAACATCTTCGGCAACATATTCGAGGTCACCGCCAAGTACAAGCCCCCGATCATGCCCATCGGGAAGGGCGCCTACGGGCTCGTTTGGTATCTGATGCTGTCCACCCTGGCCTGGTTCTGATTTGCTCCTCGCTCCTACGCCTTTGCTGATTGGGGAGTGACCTGCTTTTTCCAGCTCGGCTTTAAATTCAGAAACGGGTGAGCAAGTTGCGATCAAGAAGATTGCGAATGCATTCGACAACAAGATCGACGCCAAGAGGACTCTTCGTGAAATAAAGCTACTTCGGCATATGGATCATGAAAACGTCAGTGCGCACGGGGACATATCTGTGCCTAACCTATCGAATTCCTTGTTATTATTTCGGGATCTTCTTTTTTTCCCGTGAATTGTACAATATCTTGCTTGCATTTCTAATCTAGTGAAGACTGGACCACCTTGTAGCGCTGAAACATTCCTGATTCATCCTAGTCTAGTGGCATTGATGTCGATGTCAGTTGAAAAAAATAGAGTCAGCCCAGGTTAATGCAGTCAGATAGATGTGATGAAGCCTCAAGGAAGGGACGAGATAAGAAGGAAGCACAGGTTGGTATTGACTGAAGTTTGCAGGTGGGAGAGGTATAGTGGCGAACGGTTGGTGCCCAATGTTAAAATGCTTACTAGAGATTGCTTATCTACGTGAAAGGGGGGCTGGGAAATAATTTTAGACTTTCTCATGAGATGGCAGATGAGAAATAGTTTTATTTACCCCAAAAGTAACAGACTGATTCATTTACATTGGGATTTTTTTGTGTTTTATCTAATCTGAGGCTCATATGTGAAGAAAATGTGAAGTAAGATTGACTGAATCAATAAATCCTTCGTTTGTGCTGTAAAGTTGAAGAGCATCTGGATATTGTCTTGGTGTTGTAGATTGTATGGTTGGTGCATATAAGAAAGGTGGCGTGATGGTCAGAAGATTTCGCTAGACAGTTGGTAAATTGGTGAATTCCAACATGGTTTATGGAAGATGAGCTCCAAATATTTCATGATTACAATAGTGATTAGACATCAGTTTTGTACTTGGGATACCTGTGTAACCAACAAAGATTGTCGAAGTGACTAGTTCCTGAGTCCTTTGCCTTTAGAAGAGCTGTCTTCATGTGATTTGAACATTGGTGATGGTGACTTAGATGTCTTATCACAGCCAGGATGGCCATTATGATTTGAAATCCTGATAATCCTTGGATTCATTTTTGTGGGTGATCCATTAATGTGACGTACTCTGTTAAGTTTCCTTTCGATATGGCTGATGGCTTGAGGTAATGACATTGCATGTGACTGGTGGTAATAATTATGCGACACATCAGGTCAACGCCTGGGGAACATATTTACTGCACTTTGATATCATCTTTCTACAACCTGTTTGAACTTGTATCTTTAAATTTCCTTCAGTAATGAGGTTGCGACATTTCATTTTTTTGATAGAAGCGCTATAGGACTAGCGTCTATCAAGGTGTTAGATAATTTGTCTTAAGCAGTGTAGAAATGAAACATTAAAGGTGGTAGGAAGTGTTTACATGAACTATTTATCTTACGAAATTGATAAGCCATAGTTATCAACAGAATTTTGAGGACATTTCACCCTCTGATTTCTCGTTTGTATTCTCAACGACATTTTATTTATACTTTGGCATTCCACATTATGCTGCACGATTTCCTTGTTTCTTGGTTCATTAGTAAGACAATTTTCACGTACCATTAATCATGTTTTTAGTCTTCTCCTTAAATCTGACATTAGGATGATAGGGTGGCGCCCAAGTAATCAGACGCCCCAAGTAATCAAACTTCTATGTTCCTTCTTATTTCTCTTTCCACATTATGGAGAAACTTGTAAAATATTAAAAAAAGAGGGTGCTTTTGTCCTTTGTAACTACTTGCGTGTTTAGTATGTCCATCAGATAACACATTGACACTCTTCCCCTTTCAGACATGTTCGTTTCTGCACAGTACACTATGTATGACGCTTGGTCTACGTTTAAGGGCATTTCAAAGATTAATGCACTCTTCACGGGTAGCAAGAGATACCATTTAAAGTCACATTTACCCAGTTCAACGTATTATTTTGGGTAATCTTGCAATTAGTCAATCATGGTCTAGAACATTGTATGCTCAAGACTAAATTAGTCGTTGATTCAGAGCAAGGATCATGCATACCCCTGTTCATATAAGTGCTCAGCCCTGCTCGGATTTGCATGGTGACTTGCAGCATTGAACTTATTCTTGTTACACAATTTGTGAATTGATTCCACAAGTTCAGGGCCTTTGTTTCTTATTTCTGATAACTTTCATCCACAACTTTTCTTCATAAATTCATTCAGTACTCTGCTTAGCTTCTGTGGTATTGTACTGCTGCTGATACTACGATTTTTGCTAAGTCGTCGTGAGCTCTTGAAGAATAATTTTGAAATATCTGCAAAAAAGAAATAATTCTACAAATACAAAAATCAGTTTGTGCCCACGATTAAAGGAGTTTATATTGGCCGAGATTGATTTAATAAATGTTTTAGCATTGTCTATCACACTGTAATTGTGATCCCCTTATGGACTAATTTCAGCATTGAAACCACCTGTTTATACACTGTCATCTAGACTTAGATGTCCATTGAAATCACCATCAATCAAACTCCTCTCGGTTTTAGCTGCATTTATTTATCTATGCCCTCTTAAATATGTCATTAAACCCCTAAAATATAATTTAGGTTCATAATTACCTACTACTCTAAGTAAAATTATTTTCTCCTTATTCTAATTTTATGTCCATAATCCTCTAGATGAAACAATGATTCACTCGTCTCATTTGAATATAAATTTGTCTCTGGGCCAATTCCTAATTTATGTGGTAAAGTCTGTATCCATGCCCAATCCATTTGTTCTGATCCTCAGCTTAGTTTGCTTCTCGAAGACCTGATGCATTTGCTTTGAATCTTCTCAATTTTTTTGCTACCTTCTTCTTGTTTCCTTAAGGTCCCGATTCCGTTACCAAGGAAATAGAAGTTGCTCTGTTGCCTTTCTCGCTTCTCTTGAGAGCTGCTGACGATTGAAGTATCAGAACCGAGCTTCGTTTTAGTATTTTGTTTACCAGGAAATGGCCTAAGAAATTCATGCTTCTCATGTCATTGGGGTCGTTACGTAGTACATATTGTTGAGGGGATACCTCAACATGATGTGAATGATGAGGTAATTCATGTTCTATGTGAGGGAATATGATAGAATCTTTCAGAACTCAATGCCCTTCTTTAAAATAATTCTTTCTCTGGTCAGGATTTGAAGCAAGTTGAAAATTGTCAATAAATATAAAATTCACGTAAATAGCTATCATAAAAAAATTCTACTGTTGTTGTTTTCAATTTAATGAGGTTATGAAAAGAGTAAAGCAAAAGGGTTCTGTCATTGGCTACTTTATCCTTTTCAACTCAGCGCTATGTGTGAATCTAATATTAAATTCCAGATTCATTATTTTTGTTCTTAAAATAATGACACAGATCCTTTCCTTTTAACAGCGCTTCTAGCTAAAGAACATTTGCTGCTAAGATGTTTTCTTCTTTCTTTGAGAGACCGGAGATTAGTCCATACTACTGTTATTTTTGCAATTATAGGAGCTTATCTGTAGCAATAAGACATCACAACGTGCAGTTAAGTCATCCTGCATCAAAGGAACTGTTGTTTAGATCATTGACTTAGTCTTGTGGTACAAATGTGTACTACTATAAATTTTGACTGTTTTTCTGCTGGCATTATTTCTCCTGTACCACAGGTTGTGGCCATCAGAGACATAATACCACCTCCAGCTCGGGAGACATTTAATGATGTATACATTGCATATGAGTTGATGGACACTGATCTGCATCAAATAATTCGTTCAAATCAAGCACTATCTGAAGAGCACTGCCAGGTAGATATTTGGAATGTGATAACAAATGGCTATCATTAAATATGATTGTATAGCTTACGCTCATCTCCTGTATTCCACAACCTCTTTTCAGCACATTATCTAGATTTTAGCCATGGCTTAAGGAAATTTTGAACAGGAATAAAAAAATGCTGATGCTCTTGCTCAACAGTTTGTTATTCTTGGAATAATTTTTATATTAGATTTCTGATTCTGATTCTAGAAAATGTATCCGTAAATATTACCATTGTGGTTCAAACTTTTTATTTGAATTTTCTTCTCTGATTGTGTAGTGAATGCATAGTGAGTGCCAATGGCCAAAAAGGAAAAATCTCAAGAAGATGAGTTAAATAGGCGATGCTGTTGTGGGAAACATTATGAACACATGGCTTCTGGGACGATTGATTAGAATGAAATGTTGTGTTACTGTCAGAAAATTTTCAGTGTCTGGCATAATTTTTTTAAAATATAGAAATTATTTTTGAAAATATAAAAAAGAAATATTGGGCAACTTTGTGCTGTGATTGACTTCCCTGATGAACAAGTTTGTTCATGATTGCCCCTTCTCCTTTTCAGATTTGAATCAATGACTGCCTTCAGAATCTTTCCAGAAATCGTACTATCTCCTACTCTGACTCCAAAGTTTGCTGTTCCTGCATAAATTTTCTCCCTGAAGGATAGTGTCATACGACCACACAGTCACTGGTGGTGTTTGGATATAAGTGGGATGGCCTATTATAGATAAATTTCTACCTTTTCTCACTGCTCATCTAATATAAATCTGTGATTGGATGGTTCTACCATTTTTATCCCAATGTTTTAGGTTACTGGTTCCATCAAGCTTGTATTTTTTTTGTAGGTGTAGGTTCTACGACTTTAGTGTTGAAACAGGGTTGTATACAACTTAAGCATTGATATCATTGTTCTTTTCATTTATAAAATTTGACGTCAAGAATCAATCATTGGAACGTATGGTTACTGAAGTTCTACGATGGGACCCCACATTAACCATTGGATAAGTATTTGCTTGAGTGGCTGGATTTGTTCTTATGTTCTTGGTAGAATTCCACTGATGAGATTCACCAGCAGATCTGATTCAGAGGATTAGCTTTCCTTATTAGTCTTGATTAGGAAACAGGGAATGATTTTCTGTTGGCTTCTTTTGAATATAGTTGGGTTCGGGTTACCATCACACTGGAGAATAGCAGCTAACATTTAACATATTATGTATGGTTTGCATTCTTCTGACAAGAATAAAGCAGAACTAACTTGGAAACAACCCTCCAAGAAGGACTTGACTAAAAAAGGCTCATTTAATGTATGTGTGAAAGCTGAAGTTCAACTCTTATTTGACATATTTTTTCTATACCTACGTTTTTCGTCAGTTTCCCATACAATGGAGATGTATTGAGAAGTATTTCCAATGAGCTTAATTATTGATGTTTAATAATGCGAGGTATGTTCAAAAAGTACTTTAATGCCCTGTTAATAGGTACTTTAATCATGCGAAGTATTTTTAAAATTTTGCGAAATTTTCATCTTGAACTTTTTTTCTTATAGAATCAATACCCTGTTGATAGGTCCCTTGTCTCCTAGCGCTATATGAGTAATATTTTTCTTTTTGGCCATATCATAAAAAATAGAATCATCAGTTGCGACTGTCACGAGTTGTTTTAACTGTTTTGACCAATGAAACGCCTATGGTTTGATATATAATTAATTCTTCATCCCTTTTTATAGAGAGACGAACCAGTTCAATAATAGGCAACCCCTTTCATCAACTCCGTAAACGATTGATGCTTTTGAGTCAACATTACATGTAGACACATCACTCCTCTTTAAGAGGAGGATGAGTACTTCTACACCCACATACATGCGAAGTTGGAACGTAAAGGTGCACAAGTAGGGATTATTGCGCCAAAATTAAAATCGCACAACAAGAGTGGGACCTTCATCTGAGGATATGTCCAAACATCTTCCACGCTCTGCAATGCAAGGCCACTATTAGTAGCAAAGAAGCCAAAGGGCTGATACTTGGCTCTGCCAGTGCAGCAGAATCCAAATGAAGTTTCACTGATGTAGTGCAACTTTATCTTTAAAGTCACACTTTTGTGGTGCAACTTCAAGTGCCGTGCAGTGGTTCAGATGGCATTTGCTCTTCTAGATTCTAAGTTCAAATTTGTGCATGTGCAGAAAATGCTTTTTTAGAAGTTGCATTTCACACGTGCGATTTCAGATGACGTGTTCAAAAAACTTGTCACACAGACTGCTTGTGTGGGCTGACATCCATGCAGGAGAGTGTTGACTGGTCAAAATTATGCTTTTTCCCAGATGAATGTTAGGCATACTATTTTTCAAAACGTGTTATTTTACGATAATGGGTACAATAATTTATTCTTTTTTGGTCGATTTATTTTGATAAGGCAATAGTATAGCTTATAAATATTATCATTTTAGGATTCACTTGTAAACGTGTTCTCCAATGAAGAACGTAAATTGGGTTCAAGACTGCCTATTTCTATGTATGTTATTGTTCCATTTTGATCTCTCCTTTGGTCAATTCAATGAAATAATGAACCTATGTATTGATATGCAGCTTTAATCGTAGCTAAATGTTAATGTCCATTAAGGTTGGAAGTAGAATATAGTCGTAGAGGCTATCAGCATCACGTTCATATATATTTACTTTTTGTGAAAATGGAAGTATTCTTGAAGCTGAATCAATGACCACAACCGCCTGTCTTTTGGTTCATAAGCTTAATTTCGACTTTAAATTTGCATGGGCTCTTATGTGTTAGCTCAAAGATCATTATGTTCACATTTTATAATATTTGGAATGATGGAAAAAAAAGAAAATTTTATTAGGATCTGATATCACAGGAAAAGTTTTTCTTTTCTGGTAGCTGATGATTTTCTCTGATCATCTGGTGGAGATTTAAAGCCGAGTGTGATTACAGGCACAAAAGATAGGAATTTGACCGAATTTGAACAAATATGGAGCTCCCCTTATTGCTAACGTGGAACTTCTATCGTGAGAATTATTTGGAAGTTATTTAAATCCCACGTTGAACCACATAGATTGCGATTATTGTCTTTTCGTCGAATTTTTTGCTCTTTTTTACCATAAGATTTTAATGGTATCTAGAGTTTCTCGGTGCTATCACATTCTTATTGCAGATTGATGATTGAGGCCATTGATTTTAGAATGGTTCTTTGTTCTGAACTGCACTTTTGGCTGGTATTATACACCAGCGACTCTAGTATCCTATGGCCATTTCAGTGCGTTTTGCAAAAAAACGTAAAAATTTAGATGGAAAAGGTTACCTTGTTGGGGACAGGTGACAGATATGGTGCATTTTATCCTTTTTCTTTAAGTTTTACTCTTCATCATCATTTAATCAGCCACTAATCAAGAAGTGAAACGGGAAATTAAAAAAAAATCCTTGAATGAAATTTAAACAACAGCCTTAACTTTCAAATTACGCTTTAACAAAACAGCCCCCAGTTTGATGTGATCTGGCCCCCAGGAGTTGGCTTAAAGTGGCATTACAGATCTGTAACATTCGAAGTTGTCAGGAAAACTAATGAATGATGTTTAGAACTTCAAACAGAAATAGTCCTTGTTTTATCTCAATATCTCACCGATCCAGTGAAGTGTCCTCAAAGACAGTGTGACAGAAAAATATTTGAAATGCTTAGATGTGATCGGAAAACCTTGTGAGACAAGTTATTTGGTTTAGTGCTGATGTATCAAATCAGAATAATGATTTGTTGTGTAGTATGGCTTATTCAAGAGGTTTGTTCCAAAGCGTGGGGGGAATAGGGCTAGAGATTAATTGATGGCATGCTGTCAACGACCTCGGAAGAACTGAAAGCTACGTAGTCGGCTAAACTTGCCTGAGCCTCCTTGATTACTTTTCAATCTCGTAATGGATGTAAGTTTACGCCTCAGCTGTGTGCTCGAGCAGTTGGACTAATATCTTCAATTCTCAATGTGAAATTGCTTATACGGCAGCAGATGTAGAAATGATTGCATGATTCGTTGGCTGAGTGTGTAAGTAATTTATAGAAGAAATTGTCCTATATATGAACAGTAATTAATGAGTTACACTGCTTCTATTGATTGCTGCATGTTTGTCTCTTTTGAGACTAGCTCTAGGTTACTTGAAATCCTATATCCATCACTATTTTCCACCGGATGTTCTATGTCTTCTTTAGATCCTGGCACGTTCGGGATGGGCATCTGTAACCTTTAGCCTCTGTTTTGCAGTATTTCCTGTACCAGATCCTCCGAGGATTGAAATACATACACTCAGCCAAGGTTCTCCACAGGGACCTAAAACCAAGCAACCTTCTTCTAAATGCCAACTGTGATCTGAAGATATGTGATTTTGGGCTTGCTCGGACAACTTCTGAAACTGATTTCATGACAGAGTATGTTGTTACAAGGTGGTATAGAGCACCAGAATTGTTGTTGAATTCTTCAGAATACACGGCGGCCATTGATGTTTGGTCTGTGGGTTGCATATTTATGGAGTTGATGGAACGAAAACCATTGTTCCCGGGGAGAGATCATGTACATCAACTTCGCTTACTAATGGAGGTAAAATCATGGTCCCTAAAAAGTGCTTCTTCTGAGTTGATTCTCGACTAATATTAAAAATTAAATTTAAAAAAAAAAGGAATTGCATTTTTTTCGATTTTTTTTTTTTACCAATTCTCACATCAGAAATGTCTCTTGATGATATTCTATGTTCTTGCGGTTGCTAGTTACATCACCATGTTCTTGTCATCACCTGTTGATTTAAGGTCTGTGCTCTGCTCTAAAGCAGCAGCCCAGCTTGCCTATCGTCGTGGTATGATGACATTTAGACGAGCAATATGTCATAAGTAGGTTATTTAGCAGCAATACATCACCATGTTCTCATTACCAGACAACCTCGGCTAAGTCTACTGACCTTCTTGGCACTTCACTGGATATTTCTTTGTGGCACTAAATCATTATTCAATCCAATCGCGGTAAACCTCTTCAGTAGCCTAGTTTTTTTTTTTTATTATTTTATTTTATTTTATTTTATTTGAGCAACTGTAACTGAGGAGTGTGATATACTTTTCAAGGTGTATTTTGACGATCTCACTCAACTCATCTGAACCCAAAACCCAATAAAGTTTGTACATCACTATAAATCATATGAGCATATTATCACACATCAAGATGGGCATAACACCCCCGCCCGCCCCCTTTTACCTGCCTTTTCCGGGCGTATTTCTTAGTGTCGTTAGTGCTATAGAAAGAGTGTCATTAAGAGCATAACCCAGAAGAACCCTGCAGTTAATTGGTACTCCGAATGAAAATGATCTGGGATGTGTGAATGAAAACGCAAGGAGATATCTCCGGCAGCTCCCTCATCATGCAAGGCAGTCCTTCCCCGAGAAGTTCCCCCGTGTCCACCGTGCTGCCATCGATCTCGTCGAAAGGATGTTGACGTTTGACCCCAGGCAGAGGATCACTGGTAAGCTGGATCCCCGTATTTCTTATTGATTCGTAAATATCTCTTCTACTTACAGAGGCTGCTTTTCGCACTCTTCAGTTCCATAGAGCACGCATTGTTTTGGGGAAAAAATTATTTATTTTTAATGGGCAGAAACTGGACATACCATTTACCCGGTTTTTTTGTTTTCTAATTACCGATTGCTTGGCCTGAATTGAGAAAAATGAGGTGGTTTTCTACATCAAATGAGGCTTTTTATATGCCCAAACCCCCGCCCATCAAAATATTTTCTATTTTTGGTGGAAAATAGAAAATAGAAAATAGAAACCCACCCTGTATTGCCGAAAATCATGCCCCAACCCATCCGCTCGATCTATGTTTCGCTTCGTCGGCCTCTTGATCTTGATTTCTCCTTTTGGAAAAGCGGCTCCCAATCTCGCCTGGTTCTTCCCCAAATCCACTTATTTTTCTCGATTTCTTGCTTGCAGTCGAGGAGGCCCTGGCGCATCCCTACCTGGCCACTCTGCACGACATCAGCGACGAGCCGGTCTGCCCTTCCTCGTTCAGCTTTGACTTTGAGCAGCATGCGCTGACCGAGGACCAGATGAGGGAGCTCATCTACTGGGAGGCCCTCGCTTTCAACCCAGAGTACCAGCAATAAGTCAAACCCCCCTCCCCCCCTCTCCTCTCTCTCTCTCTCTCTCTCGCTCCCCTCCAGCGTTGACTTGCATTGTCATTGACCTCTCTCTGTGCGGCTGGCAGTCGATTGATGTACAGATTCGCTCGCACTATTGGGGGGTTTGCGGGGGAAGAACCCCGCCGCCTCCCTGGTATGAACATGGAAACTGGGACGTCATCTCCTCCGTCGATCTGTATCTCTACGTGTAGTGATGTTTATGCCTCTCTTGTCTTCGAACCTTCCATTTTTAAGGGTGAGAGAGAGAGAGAGAGAGAGAGAGAGAGAGAGAGAGAGAGGAGGGATCTGGGCTTTTCCTGGCGAATCTGTTTCTCTCGTAGAGACAAAATGCCAGCGTCGGTGCGGTGCGGATATCTCAATCCATGAATGCATTAAAAACACGCGATCTCTCACTAAAGTTATGTCGATTCCATTTTTTTAATGTGGACTGAATAAATTATCCCGCGGTCAGTTTCCTTCCCCGAAGATGTCGATGGGCATCTGGCCGCACCGTAGTCAACGGAGAGAGACACACACACACACATCATCGTAATTTCTGCCAGCCGTTGAATAGATAATCCTCCGCGTAGGCTTTGAAATCCGCTCTGGGGGGCCTCAGTTGACATTCTTCCTATTGGACGGATTTGGGCGTTTATTCTTCGGTACGGCCCTCCACGCGGGGTAAAAATAATATAAGAAACAGGCGGCCAGGCAAAAAGTCTACCTTTGACGAACCCAAGTACTATCCGTGGGCGTCCATCCTCCTCGGTCAACCAGGCCATAGGTCCAATTGATTTTGTCAAGCTGTTCAAGAGCGAGAGAGAGAGAGAGGGGGGGGGGCAGCTGCTTCTTCCTCTCTCTCCGCGTAACAACTCACAAAGACCCAGATCGGCGTGGCCCGAGATTACGCCATTTGTCAGCTGTGGATTGTGATTTCGATTAGGGTATGTTTATCAGCTGTTGGCGGTCATTAATGCCGGTCGCGGAGACCCAACGAGGAAAGACGGTCGTCTTCTCCTTTCCGGGGGCGGCGGGGGGAGGGCAAAGACTGGTTTGTCGCCGGCACCGCCTCGGGATGGTCAACAGAGATGTAGAGGCGCGACGGCCCAGCCCACGGTGAACCACGCGGAATACTAATGAATCTCTCTCTCTCTCTCTCTCTGTCTCTCTGTCCTCCGTACGGCGTGACTCCTAAGTCTACCGGTTGAATATATCAGCTCTCGGCAGGTGGGAAGGTCGCGCCGTGTTTTAATCCACCGCTTCGCTAGATCCAACCCGCGGGGCCCGCAAAATCGTCTGGGTCCCATCGGCTCAATCACCGCCGTCCAAGGCGCGGCGGGATGATGAGCGGCTGTGATTCTTTGTCGGCCACGTGGGCTCCATGTCGGCCCAATAAGATACTGTGGAGGTAATAGAAGAAATAGACAGCTTATTTATTTTTTATCGCACAATATTAAAGAAAAATATAAACCGAGACCGGCCAATGGACCGGCCCAAAGTTCCGTCTTTGGGCCGTGGATAAACCTCGTAAAGAAACTCGGCCCGGCCCGTGACTGATTTCTAGAGAACTTTGCGGCAGATTTCCACGCCTCTGCCCAACTGCTTTTCGGGCTTTTCTACTGGCCCGGGCTCGGTGACATTCGGCCCGACGCTTAAATGCCGGGGCGGCGGCCGGGTTAGTTACAACGAACGGTCTTTTTCGGTTGGCGGACCCACTACGCGAGAAGAACCATTAGAAAGCGGGCGGTCTTATCGCGAGAAAACGGGCCGCGATATCGCACTCTCGAGGGACTCTCTCTCTCTCTCTCTCTCTGGATAGCGGTGAGGGGTGGGGGGTGGTAATAACAGTCCCCCCCCCGCCCCCCCTGCCGTAATAACCTCGATGACGGGTACTGACGTCATCGTCTCAGCTCACCTCCCCGTTACTTTTCCCTTCACAATTCCGCTGCAGTGACGACGATCTTAACCCTCTCCCCCGTCATCATCTCTCTTTTCTCCTTCTTCTTCTTCTTCCTCCTCTCCTTCTTCTCCATCTTTGCTTCTTCTTCTTTGGTCGTCTGTTGACGGGCCAGGCGTGGACGTCTCCCCTTCTCGCTTGCCGCGTCTCTGCTGCTTTCATTCTCCCTCTACGGCCTGAGAGGTGGTGGAACCTGGGAGGTGGGGGGGAGGGAAGGGGTTTGAGGGAGGGGAAGAGGGGCGAGAAGCTAACGGGGATTGGACGAGAAATAAGGTTTTTTGCCACTTTTGTGCGCAATTCTCCGCGCGCTAGGCCATCCTTGGACGAATGCTCTCTTGTTCGAGGCTTTCTCTACTTGTCTAGAAAAATAAAATCTACCGTCTGCATCGGTTTCTAGCCTGTTCATCGCTCGTCCTTTTCCGCTGTTGATTCGCGGCGTCGAAGACTTTTTGCTTGATTTTTCCGCAGATTTATCTCTCTTCTTCGTCGGTCGTTCCGATCGTTTGTGATCGATCGAGGGGCCGAAGGACAGAGGAATGGCTGCAGTCGCCGAGAACTCGATCGGGTCGGACGATCGCCAGTTCCCCCATCGTGGAACTCCCTCCTCTCCTCCCCCATCATCGCCATCTTCCGATCCCGCGTCTGACTTCCGAAATGGCGTCCGGGACCTGGTCAATCTCCTGTCCAAGCTTAACCCGTCGGCCGAGGAATTCGTTCCATCCTCCAAATTTACTTCCCCCACGAAGGCGATCGCCTCCGCTGGCGCGAAGCCCAATGGAATTCTGTCCCCCGACGCCCCAATCTTTGTTGCGGCCGGCGGCGCTGAGGTCGATTTTGGGAATCTCAAGGACTCCGGCAACGACGTGTTGAATAACTCCCGCAGGGTACAACCTTCTCTTATTCCTCGTCGTTCTCCCTTTGATCAAAATCACAGCGATGTCTACAACTACCCTGTCCGTTTCTCAATCCGCTACGATCGTTTCTCCCACTTGTTCATGGCGCCCGGTTTCACCGACTGGTTCTTCCATCCGAAGAAAATTGCAGCCCGATATAGAAGCTGATGGAGAAATGATACCAAACTCGTCGATCCAAGCGGGTTCTCAGGACCCTTTTAAGCTCATGCTGGCAAAAAAATTCCTGACAGATTGGTTTATTTCTGCAGAAGAAGAATTACAGTAGCCGAGGGAAGAAGATAAACGAGAGGGTCCTAAATGCTCAAAGAGAAGACAGCATCCGGAGAACTGTCTACGTTTCTGATATTGATACCAATGTATGACGGCATCTGCCCACTGTTGTGACTTTTGTGTTGGATCTCTTGTGATCAAATCGTTTCTACCCGTGTTCTTCTTTCATTGGTCTCCAACGTCGTCAAGCAGTCGATTCTGATTTCGTTTGAGCCTTGTTTTCTTGACAGGTGACCGAGGAGCAGCTTGCTGCACTTTTTACGAGTTGTGGGCAAGTAAGTTTAATGAGTTTAATTTTTCATATTTATTTCCGTCTTCACCCGTCGGATTTCTACAAGTAAAGACCAGAGAGAGAAGTTATCCTGCCATAGCTCTTCCTTCTAATCAATTGTCACGATTTTAAGACAGCCTGATAGACTCCTTACTGACAGTTGACCATCGAAGATTGCTGTCATCAGCGAATATCCTACCCCCTCATTATCATCACTGTCTTAAGTCGTCTTTTTAACAATCTCATCCTTTCAGATCTCTACATAATAACCTGTATTTTAATAATATGGGTTTGCAGCAGCTGATCCAATTCTTAGATATGATCGATGTGTATCCACTTGGGCATTATCCAGTGCAAACTTCTCCGTAGAGCAATCTCTCGGTCAATGCCAAAGCTTTATATTGTGCCCTGTATTTTTTTCTAAAAATCCCCCGCTACTTGTAGAAGTACTTGTAATCTTGTTGGAACCTCTTGAGTACTCTGAGGTTCTTGTTACATTCTCAATGTAGTTCCTTACGTTTTCAACTTTTTCATCTAATTTGTTTTTTATATTCAATCAGTAGATGAAAGCAGAGGTGTTTTATGTACAGATTTGGTCTTTTTTTCTGCGGGATCTTGAGGAAGATCACATTTTTTGATTTTTTACATTGAGAACTTCCGTTTTACAGTAACATTTATATATTTTATATGCTTTGAATTTTTCTAGCATTGTCCTCCCCTAAAATGAATTAGCTGAGAAAGATGAGGAATTATGATACAGTATTTGTTTTCTTTCCCCTACCCATCAGATAATTCTGGAGCTGAAGGCATGGGCTTTTTTTAAAACCAGTAAATAATATTTCAATGTTATAAAATGGTGAATTTCAGGGTTGGAAGTGATTTTACATTATTTTATAAGGAAGTTAAATAAACAAAAAGCCAATGGACCGCAGTGGTGGGATATTTGAAGAAACAGCAATTTGTCTGCAACGTTGAGACATTTAAATTTGTTTAAACCCAATATTATCTATTTTAGGTGAATTTTCTCCGGATTCAGGTCACTGTCTATCTGTCATGAAAATGGTTTCATATAGCTGTTCTCGTGCATCACCATATTCCTGCTGCAGTGGCTCATCGGGCACTGCATCTATTATGGTGTGCATCAATTTATCTGCCCTTTCTGATTTGCCTGAAGGTCCTGGACTGCCGTGTCTGTGGCGACCCTCACTCAATCCTCCGTTTTGCCTTCATAGAGTTTGCCGATGAACGTAAGTTCCCATCAAACCGCTCTTCTTCTACTACTACTACTACTACTACTCACAATGCCGAACCTGTATGTAACAGAGGGTGCGAGGGTAGCACTGAATCTTGGGGGGACCGTGCTCGGATACTATCCAGTCCGAGTGTTACCTTCAAAAACTGCCATCTTGCCAGTGAATCCCACATTTCTACCACGGGTGTGCATTCCTGAACCCCCCCCCCCCTCCCCTGAGTATCATCTTCCCTTTTCCCTCTTGAGAATCATCTTGCGCTGGATTCTGATGTTGGGCTCTGGCATGCAGTCTGAAGATGAGAGAGAGATGTGTGCAAGGACAGTTTATTGTACAAACATCGATAAGAAGGTATTCTGGGTTGACTTTTTTTATTTCTTTTGAGGGTGGTCAAACACTGTGGGATCCTTCTGGGTGCTTTTGACACGCTTTCTTCTTGTCAACTCTTTTTTTTTTTTTTCCCATCTCACGAGTTGCATCTATGTCCTCGGTTCAGGTGACGCAGGCAGATGTCAAAGCATTTTTTGAAACATGCTGCGGCGAGGTCAGCGCTGTTTCTCAGGCCCCTTTGTTCTCGGTCAATGATAAAAAAGGGAGAGCTCTTCGTAACATGATTTGTTTTGAGCAGGTATCCCGTCTGAGGCTCTTAGGGGATCATGTGCACTCCACACGCATTGCCTTTGTTGAGTTCGTCCTGGTAAGGATCCCAGAACATCGTCGCTTCATCTCGTTCAGAGAGTTTCACGCGTTGACCTCTCTTTTAAAGTAACTGATAATACAGCACACTGTTTTCGTATCGGCATCTGGATTCTAGTTTTGAAATTTTCCCTTAGTCCATCTAATTCCAGCAAGCATGTGAAGCAGATGATATCTTTTCTGTGCGTAGTCCACGTTCAAAGAAGCTAGAATCGTTCTTACAAAAATATTTTCCAATTTATCGAGGAAGAATATTGGGAAATTACTAGTCTCTCTGGGTGTGTTTCTTTAGCATAATTTTATTAATACTCTCTGGAGTGCAGCATTAAATATGTAAAAATCAGGCATTAAGTCAACGTATCTGCTGTTTTTACTATGAACTGGATACGTTTTAGTAGCTTGCCACCTCTTCTTTTTTTTTTTATTGCAACATCATCTATAGCCAAAATGAAGATGGAACAATGTGGTCTAGGATTATGATATGTGCGTCTAATGATCAGCAATTCCTAGATGTGGGATCATGCTTTCAACCCAATAAGTGAGGCGTTTAATGTGTCTTTCATCGTGAGAGCATTATTCACTCCAGGAAATGGAACACGAAGCAGAATCCTAAGAAAAAATAATTGATATGTCGATCAAACTGCGGAATCATTTG